CAGCTGGGGTGCTGCCGGGATGGTCCCTCACCCCCCTGCTTGGCGCCTGGCATCCCCCCAGCTGCTCTGCTCCGCCACTTCCCCAAGTCCGCCGCTGCCGCTGCTGAAACTGACAAGCAGCGGAGCAGAGCAGCTGGGGTGCTGGCAGGGTAGTCCCGTAGCATTGCCCCTCATCCCCCTGCTCAGTGATAACTACTGCAGTCTAGTGGGTAGGAAGCCTGCTCCCCTCCCGGAAACTCTCGGCAGTAGCGCAGGGCTTCCCCCGCCTTCCTGCAAAACGCCCCTTGCTGCACCGTTCCCCGCCTACCCCCCGGACACAGTGCGGATCCCAGCAGACCCGTCACAGCCCCCCCACCGGAGTACCTCCCGGTACTCCGGCATATCCAATAACCTGGCACTACCTAGGTCCCAAAGGTGCCGGATTATCGGAAGTCTACTGTATCATGAAAATTGATGGTAAGTAATACTCTGAACAAAATCAAGTGAACAAAAACAATAAAAGGTACAATGCCATGAAGAGAAACTGCACCTGGATTTAAGCAGTGGCCTGGCCTGCAGGTTTCCCACTCCTGCAAAGTGCCCAGCTATGCATATACAACTGACAACTGACATACAACTGACAGTGTGATACCTCAGGATCAATGTTCCCTCTAAGCAGCAGAGCAGCACAGCTTCACAGGTGGATTAATCTGCCCAGCCCAGTCAGTCAGCTCCATGCATGGATCCCTGAGCCTCTGACTGAGCAGTGCTGATTAATCCACCTGTGAAGCTGTGCTGCCCTGCAGCTTAGAGGAAACACTGTCCATGATGATTTTTCCAGGTGCTGTTTTAAAAAAATATCTAGGAAATTATGCACACAAAAGCTATATTGAAACAAGATTATTATGGTTCTAAAGTGAAACATTCAAATCTAGGAAATGCCAGAATTAAAGTTGTCTGTTCTAAATAGTCTACTAGTGAGTTTTAGCTTACTAACCCGTTTTATTTCTCGCCACTTCATAGAGGAAAATGAACTTCAGCAATACTGAATGGTAATTCTGCTACATTAATGTACTTAATAGTTCATATCCTAAAGGATTCCAAAGCACTATACAAACATATTCAAACTCTGTAAAGGGATCTTTATATTTAATACTGAATTGCAGATACCTCTGAGGTGAAAGAATAGGCATTGTTGAACCGAACATGGAATTGTGGAGGACAGAATAAAATTATCTGAAGTCAAGTTTGACTAAGATTAACTTTTAATCTTATCAAGAATTCCTTTAGATTCTCAACAAACTCAGTTTTTCAGTGCTTGCTTTAGATCTTATTCCAAAGGCCTCCAGCAACATGGTATGATGTTAGACTGAGTCATTGGTACACGTTTGAGTCTGAGAAATACTAAACGACCATCACTGAATAAAAGTAATGAAACAAAATGCAGTATGTCTTGCAGTGCTTTTGATTACTGCCTATAATTGGTCCTGGTGGTATTTGTGAACATATGTAATGGTTTCCTGAGAATTAATTTTATAAATTTACCTTATTTTTGAAAATATTATGTCAGAATTTCCTCTTGATGTAACACTCACAAATATAAAAGTATACTGTAAGTATATATTTGAATTCTAGCTCTGAACACCATAAAAGACAGATTAACTCATCCAACAATTTCAGATCAGCTTGTTGCTTTTTGCTTTCCTTATCTTTTCAAGAGACACTGACTCATCTACCACTTTTTATTCTTTTTTAAAATTTGGTACAAGCTATGAAGACTTGGTAACAAATACTATGGTGCTAAAGTCATATTAAATATACATAATATAACTGTCAATGAAAATGATTGATTAAGTTTTTAACTCTTAGCTAATCAGAAATTTTATTTTGGAGATTAGCTTATCTTTTTTTATACACAGGATACCAGCCCTAGTTAATAAAGTGAGTTTCAAAAGGTAGCATACAGTTTTGATTCTATGGCACAGTCCAATTGCCATATTATTTCAGAAGTATTGGAAAATACTGAACTGTTTGCAACTGATAGGAAAGAAGAATTGAGAGTGACTTAAAAACACTGACTAATAGCTCCACGATAGTATTTTTTATTTCAGAGACTATACCTAGAGCTACATAAGCTTGCTATATGTTTTGCTGTTTTTGTGGGAAAAAGTGGAAAATAAGATAAAATAATCTTTCCTTTTAAATTCTAGGGGATGAAGTTCTAGAATGGAATGGTAAACCCCTTCCTGGAGCTACAAATGAAGAAGTTTACAACATTATTTTAGAATCAAAATCAGAACCTCAAGTTGAAATTATTGTTTCAAGGCCTATTGGGTAAGGCTAAAAAACTTGCTTCTTAAGTTGACTAAATTACATGTATTTGCAGTATTTCAAAAAACTGATACATATCTACATATATTTGTAGTACAGTAAAATACTATGACATGTTAACAACTAGTCAGTTTGAAAGTTATTAATTTATAATATTGGAGGATAATGTAGCATTTTCCTGTTACAAACTTAGATTTCTTCTATAGCTGTAGTAATATCGCTATTACGGACAATTTTTCTAGACAGAGTGAAAAAGAGTATGTCTGCAACATGGACAATGGGGAAAAATTGCCAGTAATGGGCATAAACTAAATAGACCATATTACCTGGCCCACAGTCAGTCTAGAAGGAGGTCTTGCCCCTTTGATATTTTCCATGATGTTGAAAGAAGAAACTTAGGACTTGATTCTGGTGGAGATACAGAAGTAAAACTCCCATTCTGATGGGTGGGGAGCTGTGCCTGATAAGCTCTGCTTTATTAAGCTCTTAAATTTAATTCATTCACAATAACATTAATTACATCAACACTGTAGAGTTGGAAGCAGCCATCAGTAAACATTAAACATCTCGTGACTTGAAATAAATTGGTTCATGAAGAATTCAAGAGTGCCCTTTATAATCAAATAAGTTCTATTTGATTGATGTTTTACTGTAATTGTAAATGATACTGTCATTAAAAGAATTTAACATCTGTATTCCCTAGTTTATAAAATAATTCTCATAATAGCAAACAGTTTACATTATATTACTGTGGATGTAAAACCAAGTTTGTAATAGCAAAATATTGACAATTGGGGGCAAAATTCTGCCTGTCTAGATTGTATAAATAATCCCATAATGATCAATGAAACTGTTTACTTAAATACAATTAGTAGAATTTAGTCCTAGAGCTGTGACTAGGCTAGGTGTGCCTGTGCTTCAGCTAGGAGGTGTAATTCCCAAGTAAAAGTAGAACTGCACACTATCTCTGTTCATACTAGCACCAAAAAACAATTGTATGGCCATGGCAGGTAGGATGGTGACGCTGGCTAGCCCCTTCAGTACAATCTTGACAATTCCTTGTGTACACACTCAGGTGGGATTTAGGTTTGCCTCTATTTTTGTATAACAAGAGGTGAGAAACAAATCAGAGTTTAGTTTCAGATAAAATTAGTAGAATTTGAAAAGATTTCTTTAGTTTCCTATCTGAATTTCATCAGGCTTGATGCCAGCAATATGTGTACATGTGAACCTAATGCCATAGCAATAATCATATAGATAAGAGAGTCACTTGTTCTTCTCCAGCAATTGTGCATTCTTTTCCCAATCTGAAATTGCCAGATTTAATCCAAATCATAATTCATCTGACATATGGCTCAGATCCAATAATAATCTTTAGATTCAGAAGCTTGAAAAACTTTATTCTCATTAGAAGGTCTTCCTTCCTGTGCTTGACAATAAACCTCTTGTCCTATCATCAGAGGTTAAGGAAAATATTTTTCTTCTTCCTGCTTGTGACACTCTTTGTAGCAAAACCAGTACGTATTTCACTGGGCTTTCATTGGACCTAGATTAGATTTTGGAGGGAAGAAAACGTGTAAAAAAAATAAAAATAAAACACTTGAACAATTCAGATAGAAATAAAGACAATGTAAATTGTATGTAATAGAATATTGTTAAATTGGCACTTGAAGAAAGTCCAGCTTTAGAGATAGTTAATAACACCTGCATATTTTTAAATACTGTATTATATGTGGATAATAATTTGTAATGTAACTGTCTGGTAAAGAAGATGAATAAATGATGTAATTATAATAACTTCCAAAAGTATTACAATAAAAATTGAAAATATTCAGTAAAGCTTTCTTGAAGAAGAATTGTACATAAAATACAATTGTTGAGTAATTAGATTCAAAGAACATACGGTACTGAATATATCACACTAAGAACACTGCAAAAATCTTTTACTTATTTAGATCTTATAGTGATGAATGTGACAGTTTTTATTGCATTTGTGACTGCACAATGCAAAAGTCATTATTTGCTTAACATATGGTTTGATCAATGGATATTTCCTTGAGGAAAGAGGGAAAAACACTATGAACCAATTCCTGCTAACTTTAATCTTATAAGTAGCCCCTTTGGCAACAGTATTACTGAATTATTAAATCAAAGTAGAATTTGACACAATACCTAGAAATGTCCCTCTGCTGTAATCATTCATTGCTGACATTTCACTACTTACAGCTGTTTCTTAATAACTGGCACTAATAACTGGAAAGAATAAATAAATGTCACAAGTGGACTGGAGCATGTAACTTGAAATGAAGGGCTTCATTAAAGACTTGAGCGTGCTCCCATCACAGTCAAAAGCAAAATTTCCATTGACTTTACTCAGAACAAGATTGATCTATCATTTTTCAAATGGTCAATCACACACAATTTACAACAGAAGAAATTTTGATAAGGGCTAACAAAGAATGATGCACCATAAAAATAGTTGTTTTCCTTGGTTCTTAAATGCTATGTTTGAAATAAACTGGAGTATTGGAAGAACATTATTGTTGTTCTGTGCTTTTAGATGACAGATTTCTAATCTTTTGTAGCATCTCTTGGTTTGCCACCTGAATTGTATGCTCATTTCAAACTCATTAAGATGAAACTTCCCATTCAGCCAGGGGCGGCCCGTGACTATAGGCCAACTTGGCCATTGCTTAGGGCGCCGCCTTCAATGGTGCCCGATGATGACGTCATGGGGCACCCGATGATAATGTCACTCAATTGATGGCAGGGCTGTTAATTGCGCGTTCCGCCTGGGGTGCCAGCTGCCGCAGCCCGCCTCAGGCCGCTCCTGCATTCAGCTATTATCAGAGATTTTCCTTTGATCATAGTATCACGTCTCCTGCGTAAATGGCAGAACAAAGTGTTCCATAGACAATCCCTGACAGATGTTTCTTGAACCTGCTCCTTAAAAAATCCCTGATGTTGGAGATTTTGAAACCTCCCTAGGCAATTTAATACAGTGCTTAACCACTTGGCAGTTAAGAAGTTTTTCCTAATGTCCATACTATACCTCTGTTGCTGTGATTTAAGCCCATTGCTTCTTGTCCTATTCTCAGAGGTTAAGGAGAACATTTTTCTCCCTCTTCTTTGTAACAAGTATTTACTTGAAAACTGTTGTCATGTCCCCTCTCAATCTTTCTTCTCCAGACTAAACAAAGCCAGGTTTTTTTCAGTCTTTCCTTATAGGTGATAATTTTTCTACTTCTATTATTTGTGTTGCTTTTTGGACTTTCTCCAATTTGTCCACATCTTTCCCAAAATGTGGTACCCAGAACTGGACCAATACTCCAATTAAGGCCTAATCACCATGAAGTAGAGCAGGAGAATTACTTCTCATGTCTTGATTACAACACTTCTGGTAATGCATCCCAGAATATTTGCCTTTTTTCCAGTAGTGTTACACTGTTGATTCATATTTAGCTTGTGGTCCACTATGAACTCCAGATACCTTTCCCCAATACTCTTTCCTAGGCAGTCATTTCCTGTTTTGCTTGTGTGCAACTAGATGGAGTGCTTTGCATTTGTCCTTATTGAATTTCATCCTGTTTACTTCAGACTATTTCTCCAGTTTGTGCTGGTGAGTTGCTTAAAGGACTGTGCTGCCCAGAGACCTAGGCATTCATGTGCACAGGACTGAAACATTTATTTCTGCGCCCTGTCTTTTCTTGCTACATAGGGTACGGGAACCAGTTTTCCTTCTTTGTTATTTTGCAGAAGAGTAGCAGCTAGTACTACACCATTACAGCTAGCCAGATAACAAATGACTGTTACTCATTGGGAAAGTGTAAAAGCTGCAGCTGCTTTTTACTTTAAAATACTTAGGGCCAAATCCTGTTTAATCCCCCATTCCTATTGAGTCTTTTTTCCATAAAGGATGTGTGATTTCAGCATACTTGTATATATGTGGCCATAGAAAATTAAATCTCTTCATGCAATACTTGTAAAGAGTGTGCATCTGGGGGAGCTGGCATTTCCAATAGTGGTTTTACTTTTTGCTTGTCTACTTGCCTGCCCTCTCTTTCAATTATTATGTTCAGGTACACTTAGTTGGCCTTGGACATTGGAAGTTGATTAAAATTTTCCAATTTATTACAATTTTCTAAAAACACAATACATCAACACTATCTATACAACAAACAACACAAAATATATTTTTGTCATGACAATAAATCCATGGCATTCTGAGTTGTTCCTCAGCTGGTACCAGTTTCGTTCTGAAATTCCAAATGACAATAACTTTTTCTACTCCCTTGAGCGGTATGGAGAGAGGGAGGAGGGCAGGGTTGCGAGGTGTCCGGTTTTGAACCAGATTGTCCAGTATTTGAGCTTTCTGTTTGGGAAACAAATTGAGAAAATATAAATGTCCGATGTTTTCTAAATAAGATGTAACGTAGATTGTGATGTAATGTCAAGTGTGTCCGGTATTTTTGTTGAAACCATCTGGCAAACCATCTGGGGAGGGATGTGGATTATTTCTTAAAATCTCCTTTTGTTTTACAAAAGTTTGTGCTGATCGCTGGAAAAACAAAGGAATTACTCCCATACTTTCTTTTGTTTTTTTTCAATCACTTCTACCTTTTAAAGGTTTGGGTGAATTATCTCACTGTTCAGTTATTAAATTCAGGAGGTGGTGTACATCAGTTTCTCTTCTTATACAGCAAACCAGGTTTGTAATTTATTATTTTTCTGCTGTGCTAAGCTTTAATTTTGTTTATGAATAACAGCTGAGAGGCATTATTTCTGTAATGGTTTTGTGAGTGTGTGTTCACAGAATTTTCATATACTTTTATTAAGGGGACAATGTGATTACTCAGAATCACCAGAAGGCTGAGTGTTTTAATATTAATTTTTTGTGCATCTTATCCCTGCTGTTGTTCCAGAGGACACTACCTTTTTCATTTTTTACAATCTTCAACTGCTTACTTTTCCCCAGCCTTTGCAGAATTAATTTCGTACTCTTTTTCCTTTAATTATTTGCTTATTTTCCAAAATGACAACTTTATCAGTTCAGATATCACCATTCCAAGTATTATTCGAGGGAACTGATTTTCTCATACCTGTGCTTACTGCTTCCCTTGCTCCTGCCTTTATGCCCCCTCTCCTGCCCCAGGCTAATAGCAAGTTTTCTATCTGTTGCCTGCTTGCTTCTCTGGGCCAGATCATGCTTTCATTACCAGACCATCCTTTTCCATGGACACAGGCTTTCTTCCACTAGCAATTTAGCACGGAATGTAGGCTCCTCAACTATTCTCCACATCTTCTGGTCCCATTTCTTAAAACATTTCCAAACGCGTCAAATTACACCTTATTGACACTTTCTTGTGTATCATTATTTGTCCATGATCCTATATTCTTCAGTATTCAGTCTGTTTTGTATTACCCCAGTCTGCTAGATCCTTCAGAGCCTATGTGCCTGCACTCCTTCAGAATTCTTACACGAGAAATGCAGTAAATACCACCTCAAACTCCTATATTCTTAAGAGTTTACTCCATGTGCCAATACAAGCAAAAAATGTTATGTTTTCCTGTTAGCACTTGGCTCTCTATGACCTAGGGTGTGCACACCAAATTCTATTGTGAAAGATCAATTTTGCTCCAGGCAAACTCTTAAAAATAGCACAGTATATCACCTTAGTCCCTTTACTGCAATTCTCCACCAAAGCTTTCAAAGCTCCAGTGTTTTTGCTGAACGGACTAAAAGTTCTATGGCAGAGGATGCCATGTAAACATGGGGGAACATACTCAAAACAGGTAGAGTACAATCAAAATAAAGCCTTGAACCAGATTAAACAACATACTTAAGTATCTAGCTAGAGCTACTATATAAATAAAATATACCTTGAGATTTATTTTACAAATCTATAATAATATTTAAAGTTTCTGCCACATTTATATATTCAAGAATATAACATAGGAATTATTAGACCATCGAACAAAGTGTTAAGTATCAGTCAGTCATAAAATATGCTGTTAGTCTACTACCAAAAGTGAGACATTTGAAGTACAGAAACATTCAGAACTTGCTAATAAATGGTGTAAGTGAAGCTTTCTAGGTTACAGATGACTAGAAGATGAGTATTTGTACATTACAGCTCATTATTTCTTTTTCTTTTAATAAATGCCAGAAAAGTATTTTACCTGCATCACCAAGAGACCTTTCCATATAGTTACAGTAGCAATATTGACCTTTCTCTACATTAATGCCTGTTGCTCTAGCAGTGTTATGGTTAGCCAAATAAAGGTATTTATTATCTGTGCTTGAGGGATAATGCCAAGAGTCCCGTGGGCAACAAGCTTTAGTAGTAAATGGAAAAAATTGTTTATGTATCATTAGTGCAAATGCAGTATGTGACCATGTGTACACTGTCCATGTCACCAAAAGTGTAAGAAACAACACTATGGGAATATCTGTTCAAGATGCACTATGACATCAGAGATCCCTTCCAGCAAATCTAAATATTTGCAATGGGACATTGTTTTCCTCTAGTATTTATTAGAAAATAAATATTTATATTTCTTTTGCTATTTAATAACACAAGTTAACTTAAAATACTTGAGTTCAAGACCAGCAGGGAGTACTAGATTATTTAATATGACCTCATGATTCTCATAGTCATCACCACTGACCAAACACTAAATTCAAAATGAACTAACTTTTCAGTAGCTTTTCTTCATCTGTAGCTCCCAAGCACATTATTATGGTGAATTATCATGTTACCCTCATTTTACACATGAAGAAACCAAATTACAAACAGGAGAAATGACTTGCCTAAGGACACTCAACAAGCAGGTCACTTACCTAAGGTCACTCAACTAAACTTACTCTCCTATTTCTGTCTGGTGCCTACAAAGACTCAATCTACTTAGCCTATCTCCTCTTCTTAATTTGGAATGGGGAAAAAGCATTAACTAAGTGGATATATTAACCGTATAAGATCAGTTTGGATGTGTTGAGTAAATGCTGCAAGTTTGGTAGTTAGACATGCTAAATTCCAAGTTAAAAAAATAAATACTGCTTTAAACGGAAGACATCCAATCTGTCTTGATTATAGAATATGTAGCAACACCTCAATGATGTATGTGTGTGTAACTTAGCAAGACATGAATACACTGCATTGAAGAATGGAAAATGCTGTTTGATTAATTTATTTTCATGATTTTTGAGGTGTTCATCCTTCTTAAATGGAAAAGACAAGCCACCGGAGTCCATAAATTGTAAGCTGAACTGAAGTAACGATAGCTCTGGAGCTTGTTTTAGTTTTTAGTCTGACATGTAGTCCAAGATTTTAAAAAATAAGACTCTAAAGTTAGGCTGCTGAATCATTTTTAAGTAACTTGGGCTACAATTTTCAAAGAAAACTAATAGAGTTAGATAGCCAACTCCTATTGAATTTCAGTGGGATTTGTTTGCCAACACCCTTAATCGTCCTATGAAAATTCCAGAGGCTGTAACCTGATTTTTTAAAGTGCTATATATGTTGCAAATCTCATCAGCTTCTGCACTTTACTTGAAGACTTTAGACTTCAGTTTTGGTAATTGTTAACTGTAAATTATAATGCAATTTGTGGTTTTAATGTGGATTGTAAATTATTTTAATTGATTAATTGAAAACATTTATTTCCATTTCCCTGCTCCAATTTATTAATATTTATAATGCATCATTCTTTTCTTACCCCCAAAATGTGTTTTTGGAGATTGTTGGAAACAGTACTACTGGGCCAAATATTAATAACAGCCAGACTCGGACAACCATTATAAATGCAATATCAGAGAGGTTACTCTGGATTTAGATTCATGTAACTGAGATGAGAATTTGATCCACTGTTGTTTTTCTGTGTGTGTGTGTGTGTGTGTGTGTGTGTATTCAGTTGCAATATGTTGCATGTTAGTATTTGTTGTCTAAACTAATACATGATTATCCTGTTCTTTGTTTTTTTAACATTACCACGTTATTTTTCTCTTTGTCATAAGACATTTTCATCAGTTTCATTCAGGAAGTTCCTTGAGATGTGTGTATAAAAATTACTAGTGAGATTTACAATCTGAGATGTTGTGATTTGACCAGAAAAGAAGTCATCTCAGTAGCCGTAGCACTTCTCAACATCAAAGTTTTGGTTGTAAAAATATTGTGGAGCCTTCAACTGCAATATTAACATGGCATTGATTATTGCTTGTTTTTATTCATCATCTGCAAAAAGTCTTCTTTGGGATTAAAGTGTTTATGCACATTAGTTAACAGTGACAAGCTGTCCTGAAATATTTCCCCTTCTTTACTGCATATTGACAAATAGGTAAAAACAAAAACTAAGCGATGTTTGAAAAAGGCGTACTAGAAACTGTAGTTAACTATGTCTGTTCAGTACTGAAGAGCAGTAGTTCACCTGTTTACTATTTTGTGTATATTTCTCTTTTAGTGACATTCCAAGGATTCCTGAGAGTTCCCACCCTCCACTAGAGTCTAGTAAGCATATACTTTTTTTTATCTGCACGTATATTGTAAAAATGTTGTATCTTTTTGTAAAACTAGAGTCAATATGAAATTGAAAAAACTATATAAAATGGAATATAAATAGTTCAAATCTGCACAGGATATTAAGGTTTTCTTCTATATTAACAATGAAAGGCCCATGTGGTGTTCACACTACATAGATACAGCATTTTTCATCCTCACAAACTGTCTAATCTTTCTAGATTATCACTGTAAGAAAGGTAACTATTATTATCCTCATTTTACCCATGAGAAAGATGAGGCAGAAGAGTTAAGCAAGGAAATTGTCTCAGGCTGCACAGGGAGTCATAATTTCCCATCTTTGATTGTTTTTCTCATGTTCAGATCCCTAGACTGGACCTTTCATTATCTTATCCAGAATTGGCTTTTGTGGGAGTGTCTTAGACCAGGACCAAATGTTGCCTCATGCCTTTTATGCACAGCACTATCTATAGTAAATTGGGTTTTGTGAGAGCGATCAATCTAAGAAAGACTGGGAGGAAAATAGTCTCTGTTTGACAGCAACTCTATTGCTGGATAACGACTTATTTTCTATTATGCCCCACTTCAGGGACAAGAAGACAAGAGATCTTCTTGTTCCTGGTGCAGATTTTTATGCCAGTAGATAAAAGTAAAGTCAGACTCACTGACTACTTCTCTGCCCCGTTATTTCCCCCTAACTCCCCATCCAGACTACAGATGAGAAAACCTTTGGGTAGCCTCTCTGATTGATCTTCTCCTAAATAGAGAAACATCATCATTTTGCCCATTATCAATAGCCAATGAAATGGTAGCAAACAAGGGATGGTGAAGGGTGGATAAGCTTAATAAACTTATATATTTGCTTAGGTTTGTTTTGTATAAAATCATAGAATGATAAGACTGGCAGGGACCTTGAGAGGTGTTCTAGTCCAGTCTCCTGTACTTATGGCAGGAACAAGCACCATCTAGACCAACCCTGACAGGCGTTTGTCTAATCTGCTCTTAAAATTATCCAATGATGGAGACACCACAGTATCCCTATGTTACGCTTAAAAAAAGCACATGAGATCTTTTATAGGGGAAAAGGCAGTATGCCACATTTATTGAGAATTCAACAGTAGCATATGCTTGTCAGTCACTCACACACACAAACACCATACACACAGTCCCGCCAGATGATGTTATAATTACCAGTCAGGAGTCTGGATCAATCTAGTGGTCAGACAGATCGATCACAGAGGGGGAGCTGGGCTTTGTTGGTCGTGATCCAATGCTCTCCTGGAGTTGGTGGCAAGACAAACCCAAAGTTCATAGCAAAGCAGCCTGCTTTTATAATCCTTTTCTCTGTTGAAGTTTATGGATTTCGCTGTGCCAGTCTGTGTCCGGTGGGTTATCTTTTTTATGTTAATCATTCCCAAAACATCTCCGTAAAGCTCATCCTGTAATCAATTGTCTTTTGGGGGTTCTTGCTTCACTTTAGAGTTGTCAGTCTGCCAATCTGATCAATCCTTGACCATGGGTACGCATTGATGGTTTCTCTGACACTGACAAGTCTGTCTTCACCCATACCTCCCTCCTCCTTTCTTGGCCATCTGGCTCTGAGGATAACCTGTGCACCTCTATCTCGACACATACATAACACTTTCACACATAAACAGTCTTTACAAGGACCTTCAAAGAAAAGCATAAACAATAGTGTCTCATATTGGTCAAAGCAAAAGACATTGTAAATCAAACAATTTAGACTCTAGACTTCAGCATTCCTCTAATCTCATTAACACAACACCAAAACTTTATCTCTTTACTTACTAAACTCATTAAACTTTAAAACAAAGAAATGTACAGTATATTTAACTAAAGGGCTTGATTAAATGTGTTACTTTACATTACTACATTATTAAACCTAAAATGCAAATATAAAAAGATATAACACTCCTACTCCAACACCTAGGCAATTTATTCCAATGTTTAACCACCCTGACAAGAAGTTTTCCTTAATGCCCAATCTAAATTGCCCTGGTTGCAATTTAAGTCCATTGCTTCTTGTCCTATCCTCAGAAGGTAAAGAGGACAATTTTTCTCCCTACTTCTTATAACAACTTTTTATGTTCGTGAACGTTGTTATCATGTCCCCCCTCAATTGTCTCTTCTCCAAACTAAACAAACCCAGTTCTTTCAGTCTTCCCTCATTGGTAATGTTTCTAGACCTTTAATCATTTTTTTGCTCTTCTCTGAACTTTCTCTCATTTGTCTACATCTTCTCCTGAAATGTGGCACCCAGAACTCCCCAATACTTCAGTTGAGACCTAATCAGTGCTGACTAAAGTGGAAGAATTACTTCTCGTGTCTTGCTTACAACACTCCTAAATCAAAATACCATTATATAACTTTCTTTGCATTACTGATTTCTAACTAATTTTTAAATTTAATTATTTTAATGTCTTAAAAATCCCAGTGGCCAAAGAGTCCAGAAGGAATATGGATGTATAGGAATGAAAGGGGAATATGGTGTGGGCAGAGTATTGGTATGGGGAAATGGACTGCAAGAGGAAGAAAGGAAAGAAGAAAGGAAGGCATATGCATGGAACAGCAAGATAAATAGAAACAAGGTAGTAGGACATGGCAATGGAAATTAATTCAGGGAGTCTGTTCAGAATAATTCATTGGTGAAGGAGGCAGATGCAGAGTGTCACTGATGATGGCAGAAGAGACTGGATTATGTCTCTTCAGTTGGTATGAACCAGAATAGGCCCATTGGTTTGAGTGGAGTTACCAGCTGAGAATATGGACATTCTAAAGTAGGTTTGCTGGATGAGAAAACCTGACAGTCTCCTGAGGTGGTATGTCTTTAGGAGGCCGTGATGTTGTGTTGCCCTAGCATTTTTGCTGAGGCTGGTGGTGCGGATAGTGAAGCCTGAGGGACCTGGTGATTTTAAGCAGGGGCGGATGAGGATTTTGTGGGGCCCAGGGCAGCACAATTTTGCAAGGTTCCCCTTTTGACATGGTGCATGCACAGGGCTTCTTGAAGCATGGGCCTGGGGCGGCCGCCCCGCTTGCCCTGCACTATATCTGCCACTGATTTTAAGCTCAGCGAAAATCAGTGTAAATGTCACAGAGAGCTTGAATATCCTGCATCCTTCTCTGCTGCAGCCAGGGAATGTATACACCAGGGGGAGGAATAGCTCAGTGGTTTGAGCATTGGCCTGCTAAACCAAGGGTTGTGAGTTCAATCCTTGTGGAGGTCATTTAGGATTTTGGGGCAAAAATTTGTCACAGATGGTACTTGGTCCTGCTGTAAAGGCAGGGGACTGGACTCAATGACCTTCAAGGTCCCTTCCAGTTCTAGGAGATAGGCAATCTCCATTATTTTATACACTGAAGGCTTTTTGTGCAAGAACAGCTATTTTTGCACAAAAACTTGCAGGGTGTCTACACTGCATGCACATTCTTGTGCAAGTAAATTTACAGTACAGTGTCAGAAAACGGGGCTTCTTCCGGAAGTGTTATTCTTCTCCCCATGAGGAATAAGCCCTCTTGCGCAAGAGCTCTTCCACAAGAAGGCAGTGTAGACAGCAACATGATTTTCTTGCGCAAGAAACCCCTATGGCTAAAATGGCCATCAGAGCTTTCTTGCTCAAGAGAGTGTTCACGTTGCCATGGGCGCTCTTGTGCAAAAGCACGTGGCAGTTTGGACACGTTCTTGTGGAAGGCCTTTTGCACAAGAACTCTTGTGCAAAACAGTTCTTGTGCAAGAAGCCTGCAGTGTAGACATAGCCCCAGTGTATTAGTATTTTCAGAAGAGTAGAGCCTTTAATAAGCCACACCTGGAAGAAAGTTGCTTTCAGTAGAAGTGGGGAGCACCTGATAGTTTATCTCACATAAGAGATTCCACAGTGTAGCTAAAACTGAGAGCTTTTCTACACATAAACTCACATTTGTTTAGTTAAACCTGTATGGATGCTCTTATTTCTTTTTAGTTTAAACCTATTCCTAACTAACTTGAGTAAAACTAAAGTTTGCCTGATTTAACCTGAAATAAGAGGGTTCACACAGGTTTTTGCACTAGTTTAAATAAATCAGTTTAAAATTATGCCTTAAGATAAAGTAAAGGAATTCTGCATATTGACATGCCTGGAATACATTAAAGCAATTGACAGATCTAATTAATTTGGCTTCAAATCAGTTCTAGGTCTGAGATTTTGTTTCTCTTATTCATTTAGGTTCAAGTTCTTTTGAATCTCAGAAAATGGAAAGGCCTTGTATTTCTGTTATTTCTCCAACTAGTCCTGGAGCTCTAAAAGATGCACCACAAGTCCTACCAGGGCAGCTTTCTGTAAGTGTATATTCGTACCAGAAAAAATACCCTTTATGTGTTCCAATATATTTTGTTGGTTTCTATTAATATTTAGACATAGCTGGCTATATTACATAACGTGCAATCTTTTATAAAGCAAATAATCAGTTTTCTGCCTTTCTTTGTTTCATGTCTGTCTAGGACTTTTGAAGAGTCACTCATCAGTAGTCAAATATATATGGTGCTTCTTTCCAAGGACCTTTGTATCCATTGAAATCAGTGGCATATATATTTGATTGAAGGCCCCAAGAAGCAATATTGTGAGCTTCTCTGTATCCATCCTAGACTGTGGTGCTTCTTTAAATGCTCCTGCTATTTCCCGAAATAGCGGGCTCGCTATTCCAGAATCCCTGTAAACTCATTCCATGAGGGTTAAGGGATTTGAAGGAATAGTGCCTTATTTTGAAATTTGGCGTTGTCTACACAGAGCCAAGTTTCAAAATAAGCTCTTTTGACCTAGACTCGGAATAAGCTACGCAGTTTGAGTAGTGCAAATTGCGTAGCTTATTCCAACACAAGGGTACTCTCTAGACGCACCCTTAGCAAACAGGATAGAGCCAGTGTCCCCACTCCCTCCTCAGTGCTGTAAGGCTAGGTTTTGGTTCAGTGAGTTAGATACCTAAAAATGTTGGTTATACTTGAAGAATGTAGTTAAGCTATATGGAATTTGTATGTGATAGTTAGATTTTTTTTTTTTTGAAGAGTCGTATTGCCTGAGATTTCATGGTCTGTGTGCAAAGCCTTTGCATATTCTGAAAAATGGCTTGGAGAAGAAATTGCCATAGATTCTTCCAGCTAAATAAACACCATTTATTTAGTCCATGTGTTCGAGAGAGTGTGATTTCTGCCATGAGAAACCCAAAATGTCCAAACTCAAATCTCACGCAAAACATGTCCTGGAAAAGTGCCAGAAATGTTGTTAGCCCATGTGAAAAAAGCAGTTTATATTTTGACTGATGGTAGGCAATGAAAATAATTTTATATACTTTTACTTTCATGAATCATTTCTGGTAACTTGGCTCTTGTAGGTGAAACTGTGGTATGACAAAGTGGGGCATCAGTTAATAGTAAATGTTCTACAAGCAACAGATTTGCCACCTAGAGGAGATGGGCGTCCTAGGAATCCTTATGTAAAAATGTATTTTCTTCCAGATAGAAGGTAATATTTTAAGTGAAACATATATTATCTGAATTTGTTAAATGTTTTAGTTATACTTTAAATGTAGGTTTATCTTATGTTTTTCTTTAATAATTTATTATTGTTTAGATTAACATTAAAAGGGACTAAATTAACATGCATCTATAATCAGATAGTATACAATTGTAAGTAATTTGCTCCATGGAAATATGTCTGAACCTGAAATACTACACAGCAAATATTGATTCCTTTTAGTCATAGAAGTTCATTAGGCTTTTTAAATGTAAGTAAAATGTAAGTAAACATAGATTTCACTGTGCACATACAAATGGCCATATGGTCTTCACCATCCCAGCCAACCCTGTGGATCTGACAGCTGGACAGCATGGTGCCTGCACTCCCAGCCTCAAACTCCCCACACATACTCTCAACCCCCTGCCCTGTGACTTCCCCTCTACCACATAATTCCCTGCCCTGAGCTCCCCACATCTTCCAACCCCTTGTCCTCACTCCTGCACATCCCCCCCTCCACGCACACCCCAGTCCTCTGCCATGAGTCCCCCACATTCCATCCCACACTTACATTTCTTACAGGTACTGTCCTATGGCAAATCCCCTTTATCTTCTGCCCTAACCCCCCGCCCCCCAAAGGGGCTACCATAGGACAGTATCCGTAGGAAATTTATATTCCTTTCACCACTGAATAATAGACATTTACAGATAGACAAAGTAAAAAAAAGTTGCTTGAAAATTTATTTGAGTTTGATGTAATAATATTTACTTTGTGCATTTTTGACGTGATGTGGACAAATTCTGTTTTAATGAATATACAACTTTAACTTTTAAAATTTCACCTTGTAATGTCATTAAATAAGTATTGTGTGCTCCTGATTGTCTAATTCCTCACAAAATAATTAAAGAATGAAAAATACATAAAATCCATAATTGTGTACAATCGTGAAAATTTGAATAGATACACAAAATGCTTTAAAACAAACATTGATGTTTGTTATAGTTACAAAAATTATGACTATAATTATTAGAGTTATAAAAATACAAATTGAATGCTGCCAAGTATCGTTATAGTGATGTTTAAATCAGAAAGAATGAAGACAATTATAGTCTTGGTTACTAGATGGCAGTATGTGACCTGTTTTTGCATTGTAATTTACAAGAATGTTTATGTTTCAGTGATAAAAGTAAAAGGAGGACCAAAACAGTAAAGAAAAGCCTAGAACCAAAATGGAACCAAACTTTTCTCTATTCACATGTACATCGTAGAGATTTTAGAGAACGAATGTTAGAGATAACCGTATGGGACCAGCCAAGAGTACAAGAAGAAGAGAGTGAATTTCTTGGAGAGGTGATACATACAATAGCATTACAAATTAGTTACATTTTAAGCATATAAAAAAGTGCTAACATATTTCTGTATTTTAAAAAATAATGCTGTGCAGTTTCAAATTAAGATTAAGTTCAATACATTTTCCCCTAGATCCTTATAGAGCTGGAGACAGCACTTTTAGATGACGAACCACATTGGTATAAGCTGCAGACACATGATGAATCCTCACTACCTCTGCCTCAGCCATCACCTTTCATGCCAAGGAGACATGTCCATGGTGGAGAAAGCACTAGCAAAAAATTACAAAGTAGGTACAAATGCCACCACTGTCGTTTGTCAGTTTTAATTGGGAAATGATTTATTACAATCAGTTAAGGTTGATGTTTAGAAGAAGGTTTGATAATTATAATAAAAAATAAATATATTCTTTCTAAAACTTAATTGAAATACAACTCCTCTGGTTGGCAAAATTAAAATTACCTGTATTTTGAAATGTTAGTTTTTTCATAGTTGTCATTGTTAAACACTTAGTTGAATATAATAAACGATTTTAACAAGATAGTTGGGATGTTTTTATGATTACTAAATGCTGGGTCTTTTAAAACAGAAGCTTCAAGGATACTAAAGCTGTGAACAGTTTTTTAGTATATTGATCATTTCAACCTCCAACACGCGTACTGTCCTCATATGAATCTTACTTCTGCTGCCCAGAAAGTGTTTTATGTGTATAAGAGGAAAAAAATAAAATAGTACAATATTTAAAACCTGTCCTTTTCTGATCAGGTATTAAATGTGTGAGATTTTATATTTGAAAAAACAATTATTTTCTAAAAGTGGCATATCTCAAGAGTCGGAGTATCCCATAATGTAGGTTAAAATAATTGCTGCCTGTAGCCTCTACTCTACCATTTTAACTGAAATTCAATTACATTTTTAAAATATGAAAACAGGAAACAAATTCTAAAGATCTTTTCCCAGTTATTTCTTCTGCTCTTTCACCAGCCTATTAAGAAAAATAAGGAAATTAATAAATTCCAGCCAGTCCCTGTGTTGTACTTTTAGGAACTGTAGCAACTAGTTTCTGTTCAAACTGGTACCTTCAAAAAATAAACATATTGATATCCTTCTATGCCCTTATTCTAAATTCAGTTTAATTCTAATTTCATATTGTTTGAATATATAATTACCCTATGTTTGAATCTCAGGAATAACTAGAGTTTTTGTTTAAATATACTTTTACATTTTACAATACAACCAGATATACCGGTCTTTGTTTGCCTTACTGTTGTGCAGGATCTCAGCGAATCAGTGATAGTGACATCTCAGATTATGATGTTGATGATGGTATTGGAGTAGTTCCTCCAGGTGCGTGGGTGAAGAGCATGGTCCTGCTTGTTTTTGCCTTTGCTTCCCTCTCTGCCCCTCTAATTTTTCAAATTCCTGTAGGATGCTGGTTTTGGAGCTTATGGAAAAAACAGTACAGTTACTCTGTGGTGTCTTTCTTTGTAAATTAATTTGAAATGCACTTTTATGTACTTGTTATGTACTAATCGATATTTCTGTTTAGATGTGATTGTTTGGATTTTGTATTGGATGGTTCAAAGCTATTTGTTACTTCACAATGCTCTAAGCACAAGTGAAACTGCAATTTTTATTCAAGAAATTCAGTTAACATGCTGTATTAAAATTAAAATTTCAATTTCCATTGATTTTTTTTTTAATTTTGCTTTTTGCTTGAAACCCAGATATAATGCAATCCCCCATGGAATATATTTAAAATGCATGGTTGTAAATTAAAATGCATGTGGCATGGCTATGTCTTTTATACTTTTCATAAGCATTCATGAAGTATCATTACCATAAATGTGCATAAATGTATAAATAGAGAGAGAGAATATCTTAATTTCACTTTACCCTTTGTGGATCTGATATTGTAAAATATTGGGGGGCATATTTTAAATACCATACCTAAAGTATATTTCATTTCGCACTTGCCACAAATCACAAGATTAAAACTCCCATTCATGACAGACTTAGTAAAGTCTTGTTTGCCCATCTAAGCTAAATCAGGTTTTCTATGTACTTGTCAAAATTAATGAACACACTAAAAATATGGTAATATTTTAAAAGTTCTCCTTATTAATCCATGCACTTCATTGCATTTTTTCCATTTACATAAAGTAGCACTGAATTGCTGAATGGGCTAAACTATGCTGTCAGTGTTAAGAAAATTTGTACTTTAGGGTGATGCCCAAGTAACCAAAAAGAGAATTTGTTCCAAAATCCATAACACTAGCATTACATTTAATGGAGTGATTTTCATCAAATGAAATAGAAAAATATTTTAAATAAAATGGTTTCCACCATTTTTTCACATTATTTTTTTTCTTTTTGTAGCTGGGACTGCAGATATGGCCATGTGTGAGCCCTTATTCATCAGTATTCTGTATTTAAACCGTATGGGGCCCTTCATTTCTCAGTTCATTCTGAGCAACAATTCCCCATCTGCAATGACCTGTCTTCCATCCCACAAAACAGTCTTTCAAAATTTGTATGACAACACTACTTATTGAGATAGATTTTTGAAGGCTCAAATAGCACTCAGATGCCTGAATCCCTCTGAAAGTCTTTAGGAGTTGGGTGCCTAAGTGTGCTATTCATGAACCATATGTAAGTTGGGTCTCAGAGACCACCTCTCTGCCTTTGAAGTCTCTGCCATCCATGATAGTTGATATTCTCACTAAATTAAAATGTGTATAGGTTAGTTGATATTAACTCTTGATAAATTAAAATGTGGAGTAACTCATTTCCAAACAAGTTCTACCAGCTCGTGCATTCTGCCAGTTGGTCTGACAATTCAAATTAACAGGCCTTAATGTGTATAATCTGTTTCATTCCTTTAATATACGTCAGATACAGCTGAGAGAGAGTATTTGTGGAATTTGTTTCCTTCTACTTTCTGTCTGTGAAGTTATATGTTTTATTACATTTGTGCATTCAGCCCGAACTCTTTTGAAAGGGAACATTTTATAAATATAACAAAATCATCTGATTAAGGAAGGTGTGATGCTAAACTTATATCAAAACACACAAGTTAGAGTTAAACAGAGGGTGATACTCAACTCTGTTGGGAAACATGGTCAGTGTTGTGCACTACTCTCAGATTACCTGAGAAGCTAAGTCCCCAAATTGCTCTTCCCACAGCTTTCACACATGCAGTGTCAGATACTTATGGGGTTGGAAGAATCTGTGATAACAAGATAATTTAACAAAAGCTAAATAATATGTTTTTGTGTGTGGGTAAGTTATGGTCATGATATGAATCTTTTTGCTACTCTTCTTTTTTCTCTTTCCATTGATTCTCTGATTTGGTAAAATTATAAGAGCATACAAAATTAAAAGTTAGAACTTGCTATCAGAGAATCTACACATGAGGGAAAATAATTAAGATCCCATATTTTGATGCTTTATCCAAACTAGCTCTTTTTTTAAAAGAGAGATTTATAAGTGGTGCCTAACATAATATGTAAATGATATATTCCAGATTTAGAAACAGTAAATCATGTGGGTGGAATCAAACACATACTTAACAGAGATAATGAGGTTCATTAAAAGTTTCTAGATAGATGTCTAATGAGAAATGACTGGTATTGATGAGTGGATCACTCTCTCTTTGAAAAAATTCTTGCTATCCTGGTTCTCACCAGTCTCATTTTAGTTCCTCCTTCCTGTCCATCTTAAATCTTTCAGAATTCAGTCCTTGACCTCTTCATCCCCTCAACCCTTTCACTGAGCAAGCTCATCTGGTCACACAACATCAGCTCTTATATCTATGTTAATAACTTACACTGAGTCCAGAGCAAAAACTCTAAATCCTAAACTACTTTACTTCATCCAGATTAGAATGTACACTCCCTTATCCAACATCTTTTCCCTGAAATCCCACTGCCAAATTTTTAAGGCTGGATACTGCTATCCTTAGTCAGAGAGTAAGTAGTATTTTGCTTCTTTTGTAGTGTTACATGAGAAGCAGTGGCAAAATCTAGCCTATAATGTGTAAGAAAATTATATTTTTCCCATCCAAGGCCTCTCTTCTTTCCTTTGCTATCTCAGTGGTTACATTACCAGCTATGTTGTTGATGTGGTAATTATGAAGCTCTGTGCTAAAGTTAATCTTATCATTGTTAATTGTTTTTTTTTGCTGTTGAAGTAACAATGCCGATGTACCACAGAATAGGAGAAAGTTTTGTTTGAAAAGAGCTGCCACCTTTGTACATTATACATTTTTGTAGTAGTAAACATCTCAGAATCATGTGAATACAGAACCCATTTTAACTTTTAAAAATTATGACATAATGCAAAATGTTTTTCTCTTTCCACTTTGGTGGTAAAGCAGGAGTTCAAATTGTTCCTTGCAATAGCTAATGATTTCCCAAAAATCTTAGTATTCATTCATCTATGCTATTTGCTCAGTTGTTGGAAGAGATTGCAAACTCTGAGTGTCTGAGAGAACGTGTTGACATCTTTGGTTGGTATATAGCCTAGCAGTGTATCTGCAGTCATTTGGGGGCACATTGGCATTGCTGTAATATAAATATTGAAAAAGAACAAAAGTTATGTGCTGAATACCTCTCTTGATAGTTAAATGAGCATGAAGCTGCTGCTTAAGTATTTTTGTTTGTAAATGATAAAAGCGATTTTAAAAATTAGACAAACATCCTGATAATAATGTTTACTTCTAATCAGTTTTTTTAAAATTACAAACTATTTGATGTTCACTCATAGGAATTTTATTCAATATCCATGTTATCCAATTACTGTGTGTAATATAATGTCAATAATTCTCTGTTCATTGCAATAAGGTGGCTTTGGCCCAGTTAACGGAGAGCTCAGCTGAAACTGACAGAGGGGACAGCTCTTTGTCTCAGGAGTGCTCTTCTGGTCAATTCCAGCTGCTTCTCCCATTTATGGTGGGCAGGGAGCTTAGATGAAAATAACCTAATTTGTTTAGATTTCATAAAACAAACACAGAAGGAGGTTGGGGGTTCATTACCATGTCACTTGAAGAAGTGACCTCCAGTGAGCAGTAATGCCTAAGGCATTAGATTTTAGGTAATACCCCCACCCCAGTTAAGGTGATTTGTTCAATCCTCCCCACTTCAGCAGTATTCCAGTATGTGCGCAAACTCTACTAAGTTTCTCTACCTCTATACATATACACACATTACATTTAAAGGTAATGCTAGTAATTAATCCTGGCTGCATGACATTTCAGGATTTACAATAGCTAAATGAGTACTTGAAAATCTTGTAATAATTTAGATGTGTTTTCCTGGAAAGGTCAACCTGAATCATTTGCAGACCCAGATCCTTTCTGTCTAACATCATTTTGTTGCACTTTTACCAGTAGGTTATAGATCTAATACTAGAGAAAGTAGATCTACAACGTTAACTGTGCCAGAACAGCAAAGAACAACACATCATCGTTCACGATCTGTATCTCCTCACCGTGGTGATGATCAGGGCAGGACCCGTTCACGTTTACCAAATGTGCCATTACAGAGGTAGGATTAGCAGCATTAGTGATTGAAACACTTGTGATTCGAAGTTTATGTAACCAAGCAGAGGTTCTATGTTACTTTCATCTGATTGAACTATTTATTATTTTTCACTGTGAATTACTTTTTCTTCATGTGTTAATTTAACTTTAAAGCATATACATTGTTATAAGCCTACCAAATCCTTATTTCTCTTTTAAAATCACCCAGCAGTTTACTTGCTTGCTAATTATGTTATGTAACCCTTGTCTTTCCTTACCTCACATCCTTTTTCTTCATTTGTTGTATCTATTAGATTTGAAACTCTTTTAGGTAGAGATTGTACCATTTGTGAGTCCACTGTGGATGCTGTAAATAATAACAATATACTATGAATAACCACAAATGAATTGATTTAGCAAGTAACATTAATCTGAAGTTACCAATTCCTGCAAATTACATTCTAAAATTATTTTTATGTAATTTTTTTCAGTTAGAAAGAACACAATAAAATTCTTCACCAAATTATATTTAATGTAAGATATATTTCAGAAAGCAATGATAACATTTAGACTAAGTGGGTCTCTCCCCCACTCCCCACCCCCACTTTACATTCATGAAAAGGTGTTAATTGAGTCTTTTATATTTTCAAATTTAGACAAGACTCAAGACTTGAACCACCTCCTTTCTTCCTCTGTTTGGAGGAGGGAGAGAGAGGGGGCTTCTTTGAACCTCTCTTGAAATCCCTAACTTCATCCATCCATTTCAGTTTTCACTTCTCTACCCTCTGGAAGTGTCTACACTAGAAATCTTGCTACCTGCATTAGAGCAAAAGGTAGCAATACTACAGTTGTAGTTGGTATTAGCCACCAGTGTAAACAGGGAACATTCATTGTGACATGGTGGTATAAACAATAGTAGCATTAGTGATAGCAGCTACTGGTAGAACATAGGTAGTATGTGTTCTAGTGTAGGCAAGACTTGTGTTGCAGGTAATGTCTCTTGTACTATGGATGGGTTCAAGAAACTCTTCAGCTTCAATCATGTGCTGGCTCTAGTATGATGTTGTCCAGAGTGCCACCAGATTCTTCATCCCTTCCAAATGAACTGACTACAAAGGTGCCAGCCAGTCTTTCCTATCCTTACAGTGGGCGACTGAGTTGCACTTAAGAACTTTATTCCTCCATAGCACAGGCTATGAGGCTGACCCCTTGTTTTGCTCCTTATGCCTAACTGAAAGGCTATGCAACATTTCACTTCCCCTTTACAAAACAGAAGTTTGAGCTCTCTTTGGAAAAATAGTCAAGAACTTTTAGTTTGTCTTCAAAACACAGCTACAAACACTCAAGAGAAAGTAAAAGCATACAGCTTGATTCACATACACCCAAGTCCACTGGCACATAGATGTGGGATTTGGTCCCACCTGTAACAGTGGTTATTATTGTCCTTAATTATGTAGAGTGGGTATCAGCCATTGCTTTCCCTCTGAAATTTCACCATAGGAAGAGAGTTTTTAGTTCAGCTTCCATAGCAGGGCAGAAGTTTCCAGAAGATGTATACAGTTACAGCATCTTCCTACATAGTGTCACACACATTAGGAATAGTGCAGACTACCTGTGTTCTACCATGTCCCACCCTAATCTTTGCTGAACGGTAGTCACAGACATCGCTTTCTGCTGCAAGGACTTTCCACTGCCCCTGGTCCACAGCCCAGGACTCTGCCTTTGGAAACCTAAGTATGAAATTATAAATCCATAAACTTCAAAATGAATTATTGCTAACTTAACTGTTCTCTCAAACTAATCTCTAAATATAGGAACATGTCTATGTGCACAACGAATTTAATTCTAAACAGGGTAAAAATTACCACTGTGTATGCCAAATGAGGAGATTTTTCTCCCAAAGAGCTAAGATTTTTTAAAAGCTATACCTTAACATTTTCCTGAGGAGAAAATTCTAGCAGGCAACTTGTAATCTGTTACTCTGTGTTAACTATGGGGAGAAGAAAACCATCATAAATATATGTATTATATAAATACTTTTAGGAGTTTAGATGAAATTCATCAAATGAGAAGATCACGTTCTCCAACTAGACACCATGATGCCTCCCGAAGTCCAGTTGATCGCAGGTCCAGAGACATGGATAATCAGTATTTGTCAGATCATGAAAGGTATGTTTCCAACTTAAACTTATGAACATGTATAGAAGTGTTTTTGTCTTTTTGGCTAGTGTTTGAATGCACATTTGAGTTAATGGGAAAGGTGAAAGAAATGGTCATAAATAACAAAGAACAATCACGATCATGACATTATGAGGAAAAGATGCTTTTATCAGTTTTAGACAGATAAGGTTTAGGTTCTATGTTCATAGTGAAAATATTTTTTTGTAGAATAGAAAGTGAAAAGAGGAAGGAAGAATAAACCAGGAATTTAGCCTCATTTATGGAATTTAGCCTCAAAAATCACAATGCAGTGCTTAGAATCATAATGGCGATTCTGTCCATTTTTGTAGGTCACATAATTATTTTATGAGAAAACATTAGCTGAATCATAGTGGCCTATATTCTGCCATCCTAACCTTTTCAATGATTTTTAATTATAATAAAATCAGTTTTATACTTAAGACAATAACACTGCAGTGTTTTCCACCGTGTATGTATATTTCATTTTATTCTTTACTGTAAAGTAGTTGTATACACACAAATATTTTTTCAATAATATTTTATTGAACGTTTTCCTTAATGTTCTTCCTTGTCATTAGAGATCAAATGGTGAGGGAACATTTATGTCTGACTCATATGACTAGACACAAAATTAAACAATAAAAGTATATGTAAAATATTCCACAGACAGAAACAAGAATTCTGACTACATTCTCGGATCATTTTTATATCTCCTCCCTTTCCTGCTTGGATGGAAGAGCTTTGGGATTCTGCGTTGATATTCTTGGGGGAAGAAGCCATTAGAGCAAACAATGAAGGGGTGCTGCTAGGGTGGGGCTCTGACTAGGCTAAGAGAGTTTTCCATTCTTTTTCTTGTGTTTCGAGAAGCCAGCTTTTCAGGGGTGGTAGGTGTTGCTATCCTGAGGGGCCCTTTTACCTCTGCCAGGAATTTCTTCTCTCAGCAACAGCAGATGCGACAGTCCTATTTCCCCTCCCACCCCTATAAAACTTCTGTTGTCTCGCTATTTCAAAAGGACAAGAGACAATTGATATGGATTTAATCAGGTCACGTCTTTATTATTAGATGTCTGAGACTACCTGGCAGATAACCCTGTACAGCGCAGGTAAACCAATGTTCATTCAATATTACCTAGAGGCTACTGCCAGAACTCTCCCCGCCTCCCACATTTTCCATTCATTAGGTCCCTTAGCCAACCCTTGCTGGTACCTTACCATTCCCCTTTCCTCTCCAATGAGATGTGCTGTAAGGGGGCTCTGTCATGCCAGTCACAAGAAGCCCAGCCACCCTCCCTCCCCTCCATTCCTCTCCTTTAACAGACACCTTATTTCTAAGCCCTTTACCAAGCCATTTATATGGTCACTGAATCCCTTACCTATGAAGTACCTGCTTTGGGCATCTGACCCACTCTTCCATAACGAATGTGACATCATAGTCTAGCTCCCTTCCGTGCTAAACATAATACCACCACCCCTCCCAGCCCCAAACCCATGTGGTGAAGACAAAAAAGCCCTCCACTACACATAGGCTAGTCTGGTTGTGACAAAAAAATTCCTTCCTAGTCCTCTTGCAATGGAGCAGCTAGTGTGATGCCCACATCAGGTCTTATTGAAAGACCTGTTTAGCCACCTTGAAGGGAGGGAGGATGGGTGCTGTTTTGCTTAGTCCATGGAAAAGGAGCTTCTTCTTCTGGATTTGCCCCTTTTCAACTTCCGACCCTTCTGGTCCCTGGGGATGAATTGGCATCACCACGTTGACCCTACTCCCCTTTTAGCAGCAGTTTCTGAGTCCCTCCACTCCCCCCACTTAAGTTGCACCATGGGCATTTAGAAATACTATACAATGGTTGTTTATCTCTAGTGTGTCTCCCATGAGAGCAACAAACTTTTCAGTGAGCAGAACATGCATCTTAAGATGAACCCTGTTGCAGTTGCAACTAAGGAAAAAGTTTAAGAATTTAAAGAACTTTACTTGATATGCTCTTTACAGAATTCTTATCAAAATCCGTACCTAGCCATGATAGCTGTCTAATATGACACTCACTGGAAAGATATGGTTAGATCTACATAGAACTTAATATCGCTATTTCTGACATAATCTTCAATTATTAACTGCATCTGATCATACCCAAACAAATTGTTTTTAGTTATCTGTATGATGGTAGCACCCAAAACAATACTGAATTTTCTGAATAATTCCTGGTAATAACCTTCCTAGTCTTTGTTCAAGAATTTCAGCTATTATTTTTAAGTTATTATGAAGACGCAACATAAGAAAATCCTCAGATTTAGAAAAATGAATCACTACCTCATATAAAATTCCATCTAGAGGACTATTCAGCAACCAGTTATGATATATTTCCAGACAGAAGTGAGATTATCTGAGCTGCTAATGTTTTAAATAAAAAATTATTGGGGGGTGGGGGGGGAAGCACTATCTAGCCTGGTGTCTTAATTCTGACTGTTGAGAACTCAGATCTGATTCTTAGTTAAATAGATCTTTCAGTGTTATATTCCATCCATTTGTTTATAAATAAAATGTGGTAATGTGTGTATACATATATTTAAATATACGTATACATATATTTATATAAATATAAATCTTGTATTTCTCTCAAAAATGCTTTTCTAGAGGAATAATTTTTTTTGTAAATGTGTTACAAGTATGATTTATTTTTCAATTTGAGGAAATAATTAGAATTGTATTCTTTATTTATTTGTGTTTTATATTCCACGCAAGAGTGTGTTTTATATCACTATTTTCAGTGGGCCAATCCTCTTGAGCTCCTTGGTAGGCAAACTTTGACTGAATGAAGATTTATTGAGAGAGAAGATTTGACCAATGATCCAAACTCACTTCCCTTTCTGTCTCTAGATTTTATAGTGCTTTTCCTATGACAATTTATGTTTTATCTGGATCTGTTAGTACTTCAATTAAAAACCTGCAACTGGCAATGTAGGTATACCTTCTGATAACTAAGCTACAAGTGGACCTGCATCCTCACAGTTTTTTGGCTGTTGTAATGTCCTCAGTTCTTTCAAGAGACACACAAACCTTTTTGATACAAAATAGTAAAAGAGAAATTTTATTTTCAATTACTGTACTTTTGTTGTCAATTATATTGCATTTATTTGTAATTTAGAAGTCTGCACATAAATTCTGCTGAGATGAGATATTAAATAGTTTTATTGGCTTTTTTCCTTTTAAAAAACATTCACTTCACCTTTAACATATTTTGTTGCATCAAAATCACACCTGCAGTTCTAGATGCAAGCTTAAATCTCACATATGGATTGCAAGCTGTAATTTTGATTTCCCTGGTTTATAATAGATGGATATTGCTTAGGTTATACTGGTTTCCATAGTGAAATTTATAATTTCATGACAATATGAAGTGTCACAGTAATTGATCATTTTGTCACTTTGCATAATTTTTTATATCTTTTCTCTCTCTGTTACCATAGTATTTCATATGATTCTTTGATTCTTTTTAAATGATGCATCTTCATGAACTTTAGCCTTAGTTTGGTGTCAATAACAATAAGGAAATTTTGGGGATTCCTCTTTTTTTATTTGCACTGAAGTGCAGGTACCCATAAAAATCACCAAAAGGGAATGCTGTTATCACAGTCATATTAAATAAAGATAGAAATAATTAATTTGCAGTAGCTGTATTATTGGCTGTAACACTTGGCGCTTGTAATAGACTGTTGGTTGCAATAATGGAATAAATGTTTGTTCTGTAAAATAGAAATGGCCAGAAAAAAAGATTTTGATAACTGATTAACACATTTCCTAATTCTGTAAGATGATATATAACAACAACATAGTATAATAAAAAAGCTTTGGATCAGAATCTACATTTGAATAAACTTAACATTTTAGTGGACAAATAATTTTCTTGTCACCAAAATTATGAGTTGAAGCTTCTTACGCTGTATTCACTAGAGCATAAAAATACGTTTATAACTCTCCTCCCACACAAACACACTTTTCTTTGGGTTCATAAAATGGAGGTTCTACAATTCCATTTTTATTATCATGTTGCCATGCTTTAATAAATACCTACTTTAATAACTAGAAGATTGCCACTCCAATCTAATTTGATAAAAGGAATTCTGTCAATTTTTAATATTGAAAACTCTGAAGTAACTTCAAAATTTAAAAGAGACAAGTTTAGATGTCCACTTAAAAGTATTATCTGAATATGTAGTTTTCATTGGTAATTTATTGCCTACATTTTAGAGCAGCATTGTAATTTGTTTTGAACGCTATCAAGACAGCTATCTCAGTGCGAGCTTTGTGGTTTCTTTTTTTATGTTTTCATTTGCAAATCATTAACATAACTCATGTCATCTAATGCTTCATATTTATATCTGTTTCACTCACCATCCATCCTGTCTGTGCAGTGAGCTTCTTATGCTGCCCAGAGCAAAACGAGGAAGAAGTGCAGAGTGCCTACATACCACCAGGTAAATACAGGAATTCGGTAACCATGATTGCTTATGGTTAGTTTCTGTGTACTTCACTAGCCCAATCATTTCCTTTAACTTTATTAATATTATACTAAGTAAAGGACATTTTCTTAACACATAATCAAATTGTCAGTTGATTATTTTCCTTTTCAAAAGAGCTGATCAAGATGTTTATATGTTTGTTTACTTCAATAATTATGATTAGTCAACAGTCACATCAGTATTTATGCAAATATTTTAACAGCATATAATTTTTATGTAGATTACCTGTCTAGTCACAAAAGGCCTGGCCTTCAAATGCATGGCAGTATTATTGTGGTTTTATAAAGTTTCTTTTTTGTTTATTTGGTTGGTTGGTTTTGGTGGGGGGGGGTTGTTGTTGTTTGTTTTTGTTTGTTTTTTATGGTTGCTTAATTTTCTTGTTATTGTATAAAATGAATAAACCCATATTAACCCTTTTTGTTTTGACAAAAAAACTTGAAGAAAATTCCTAAAAAGAGATTATGACGAGATAAAAGTTGCATGTCTGTGCTTCATTTGACAACTGTCTCAGGGTATGTCTACACTGCAAAATACCTGTGACAGCAAATCTTAGTGCATAGGACTATAGACTCAGGTCACGAGGCTTGCACTATAATTAGAAGCATAGATGTTTCTGTTTAGGCTCTGAAACCTGGCAAAATGGCAGGTCATAGAGCCTGAGCTCCAGCCCCAGCGGGAAAGACTACACTGCTATTTTATTGCTGTAGCATGAACCCTGCAAACCCAAGTCTGTAGATCCAGGTTCTGAAATTTGCTGATGTGGTTTGTGTGTTTGTTTGTTTGGTTTTTGCAGAGTAGATATACCTGTTGTTTCCTACCTACAACTTAGAATTTTAGTATTGTCTTTGTCTGTGCCAGGCCCTGCCAGGACATTTCTTTCTTTGAATTGATAAATGTGCCATATATTTTGTAAGGACTCAAAATCCCAGAGACTGCAATAATCCACATTGACGATAGCCCTCAAAAACTCAGCAAAAGAGAAAGGACCCAGCACTGGTGCAGCTGAGTTCTAAATTGAAATTATTCTTTAGGGAGCTGGACCATCAGTGAAATAATGGGACTACTTATGCTTTTAAGTTAAACACATTAGTAACAATTTTGTAAGATTACGGCTTGTAACATTTGAATTAATGTTAATTCTTTTGCAACACGAGGCAGTATTTCATGTCTCATTGAAGACACAGCTTTAGTTTTGGTATCTCCCTGGATTCTCATTTGGAAGAATTTGTTTAATTACAGTTTTTAAAATCAGGAAACACTGCGCTCTATAACCTAATTAGAGCATGCTGGTGATCAGAGGATATGTATATACATACTGTTAGCAGTTGGAAATCCCTGAAACTTCTCTTTACATTTTAAATTGGAAGGCATTTACTCCGAATCAGTGTAATAAGGAATGGCTTCATATCATCTAGCAGGCAGTGAAGACATTTTACTTTATAAATAAGTCCATAAATCAAAAGGTTAGATACTGTAGCTATGTGTCATACTGTACCCACTGAGAGTTGGTTATGCTTTATGTACTCATTGTCTACTCATACTCTGGTATAACACAATGGTATATCACATTGGCTGATGCCCCATTTTTTTACACAATATTTACACCAATTCATTATTGTAATTTTAATAGAATTACACTGACATAAAATTTGAGTTGGTGAATCAGATGGTTGATTTCCCTGGAATATCTCTGGACATATTGAAAACTGGATCTTTCTATGTATTCAGCTTCAATCCTATAAAAGGTTTTCTAATTTACAGACTAGCACAGCCACCTCTCTGAGACTTTGGGTACGTTTAGACTACAGAGCTTTTCTGGGATACCAGAGATATCCCAGAAAAGTTCTGCCATGTCCAAGGAATGCATCTGCTTTTCAGAAAAAAATGTCAGAAAAGCAGACACATACTTGTAAACATTTCACGAGGAAGAAGGGATGTTCCGAAATTGGCTTTTTTCCGACATTTGGCCCTGTGTAGATGAGCCAAATATCGGAAAAGCCTCTTTTGGAAGAAAAATGGAAAAAGATACGTGAATTGTGGTTCGCAATTTGTGTATCTTTTTTCGCCTTTTCTTTGTAGTGTAGACATAGCCTTCGTTATGCATTGTATATGCAGAAAGATCTAAAGACTAAATTTTATGAAGTGACACTGATTTACATAGCTGAGAATTTGGGTTGAGTCTCTAGCAGAGATAGGCCAAAACTGAATTTTTTACATTAATTGAAATCCAAACCGACAGTGAGTTTTAGAGCTGCATAAAAGAAGGAACAAGGATCAAAACTACCTCCAGAAGCCCTAGATCTGAAGTTTCCTATCTCATTTCCACTCTTATTCCCATATATTGATAAAGTTTGGATCCAGATACAGCTCGGATCTGTCTTCCCTCAAACACTTTTCTAAATTTTGGAGCTTCAGATAATCTGTAATCCTAATGTGAACCATTCTTGGGTTTGCCAAAGCAAAATATACTTGATCCATTTTTTTTAAAGAAAAACAAAACCCAACCTCATCAGCGCACCTCTGATTGTATACCACAGAAATTAAATAAAATTCTGGAAGAAGCGTTGACTTAAGTGTAAAAAACAGAAAAAAATGTGTAGTCATAATTTATTCCCACGTTTTTGATATATCCAATTAATTAGATGGCGATCACTAGCCTAAAATTTGTCTGGAGAAATTGGTTATTGGAGAACAAAGAAAAATGTCTTTCTGATCTCATTTTAAGAGCACTGAGACATTTTCAATTTCATTTTATTTTTGTTAGGGTAAATTGACACACAATTCCAAACAATCTTTTTATATCTATTTCTCTTTCTCCTCTTCTGTGACATTTTGTGAACACTACAATCAACACTTAAACACGTGGTATGAGAATTAAGGAAAACATTTATATACTTTTCTACTCAAAAACTGATCATTAGTAAAAGTTTAGGTCACTATTTTACTTAATCTTAGAAATTAGGATTGGAAAAGATCCTGTAAAGATATGCAGTCCAATACACCACTGGTCTGCAGGATTGTTCCCCACACAGTGGTTTTCTCAGATTTGTCCAGGATAGTTTTAATTGTTCAGAGCTCATCAATGATAGTGGCAAAAGGAATTTACAGTTAGATTCTAATACATAATTTACTATCAGATTTACGCAGTGTTGTTCTGGTCCTTAACTCAATTAAGGGATTTTTTTTTTAAATAAAAGAAAAATATAGGTATATTTAAATGATTGTATTTTTCAAAAATAGTTTTATTTTTATTGAATTAATTTTTATTTGAGATTTCTTTTTAAAAGGGATTGCTACATTTTCTTCTATTTAATTGGTTTTTTAGTAATTTTTTTAAAATGCGAATTCTATCAACTGTATTTTTTTCTTAATTTCTATAAGTCCTTATCATTTGTTATGTTTTAACAAAAGAGGACTGGTTTTTCTTCTAGTTTTCAAACCTTAAGCATTCATTTAGCTGTGCCAAAACAGAGCACGACTCCAAATTTCTCCATTTTATCTCTTTTCTGGAAGATTTATAGAGAAGCAATCCTATTTTTCTGACTCATCTTGGTTCACAGGGATGAAAGTAACTTAAATTTCTTACAGGTACTGTCATATTTCAACCCCTGCTGGGGAGAGGGGAGTCCTCAGAGCAGGAGTTTTGGGGTATTGATAAAACAGTATCTGTAAGAAATTTAAAGTGTGGGGGGGATGCTCAAGGGAGGGAGTTGGGGAATATAAGGATGGGAGAAGGGCTCAGGATAGAGGCTGGGGTTGTCATGGGTGCAGGAGTTAGGGCAGGAGCTTGGGGATGTGAGGGTGTCAGGGCAGGGGGCTGGCGGTATGGGAGGTGCAGGAGTCAGGGTGAACGTTGAGGCGGTACTCAAGGTAAGAGGTGTGCAGGGTTCAGGATTTGGGGTTAGAGGTAGGAGGGGCTGAGGGCAAGGAGGGGTGTAAGAGTCAGAGTTGGGGTCAGCTCAGGGGAGGTGTTGTGGGAGGTATATGATATTAAACAGTTGAGATCCAAAGGTATGCTTATGATTCAAACCAGAGGTGTAATTCCTATCTTGAGGAGACATTTGCATGCTAATTCAACCAGAATAGAAGTGTATGCTCAGTGATTTGAGCAATGGTGACTAGTTCCTTCTGGCACTCTGGCTACACTTCTGTTTTTAGCATGGTAGCTTGATCAGAGCTAGTGTGTTTATGTCTCCTTGCAATGGATATTATACCTCCAGCTCTGTGTGGATATACACTAACACTATGGAGGTGCTGTACCTTGGTGATGAATAAACCAATTCCTAGAGTCTTTAAAATTAGCTTACCATTTTTTCATGTTTAGCAGTTTAACTTAATGTGATTTTATGTATGTAGATGAGATTCAGAAAGGGTATGTCTACACCAGGGTGATTAATGTAGTCAATCAAAGTTGCAAATGAAGCCCGGGATTTAAATATCCCGGGCTTCATTTGCATCTTGTCGGGCGCCGCCATTTTTAAATCCCCGGTAGTTCGGACTCCATGCCCGCGGCTACACAGTTCGGCCTCCATGCCCGCGGCTACACGCAGCACGGAGTAGGTAGTTCGAATTAGGCTTTCTAATTCGAACTACCGTTACACCTCGTTCCACGAACTACGTACTCCATGCCGCGTGTAGCCGCGGGCACGGAGTCCGAACTACCGGGGATTTAAAAATGGCGGTGCCCGGCAAGATGCAAATGAAATCCCGGGCTTCATTTGCAACTTCGATTGACTACATTAACCAACCTAGTTCAAACTAGGGTGGTAGTGTAGACATACCCAAAAGGACTTGGGGGTCTAAATCCAGCATTTATGCACCAACAGGATTCCTAGAATGCCCATTCAGTTACCACTTAACTTTGTAGGTGCCTAAGCTCATTGGCATCTACATTTTTGTTGTGAAAGGTGCCTAGGCACCTATATTTCTGCCTCTGATCATGTACTCTGTTGTATCATTCTAAATACCCAGTTTATGTGTAGCTCCCTTCATCTCTCCTCTTGAAGAAGCTGTTCTACTTTGGATTAAATTATTAAATAGTACTTGGGACACAAAAAGAGAGTGTGCATGAAAACAATCTCTAAACTGGTAGTTAGGGCTTTTACTTAGAAGGTGGAAGACTGAGGGAATGTCTACACATTAGTGTGTTTTAGTAAGCTTTTAATTTATCATACATATAACCAAAAGGGATGATTAAATCACACAATGTAGATTAAAATAGAGTAGTAAAGTCATAAAAATAGCAAAGTAAATACCAACTTCACATTGTACAACAGCTTATATATTTTAATAAAAATTGTAAAGATTTCAAGGTATTTTAGTTCCAGAGGAAAATTCCGACCTACAGTATTAATCTGAATTTACTTATCTGCATGCATAGGGTATCTGGTCCTGAAATTACATGTCAGTCTGCATAATTGAACTGACAAAAAGATACATTGAAAAATTATGCATATAGCTATTCACACTTACTATAGTATCATGCACACAACATAATCTTACTTCTAGTAAATATTCTATCTTTACCTATATTTTTGTTTCTGGCATGGTTTATTTTTTTTTATTTTTGTTTTCCTCTGTTCTGTCACATTCAAGAAATTCTGTTAGGCACTGTAAAACATTACCACCCAAGATGCCTTTACTAGAGAATGGTACTCACTGGAATATTTACAGGTAAGTAAGTATTCACTTAAATTATTTTAAACAAACTTACACATTATAATAACGTAATTATACTTTCTAGAAAACTTTAATTCACAGATAAAATCATAAACATAATTAGATTCAACTATATAAAATTAACTCTTACATAAATGACAAACACTTAAAACCTCTGTACTGTCTAGAATTCTTATATCTTTAAACTCTACTGAAATGTCATTACTAAAGTTGAGTAAAATTGTAGTTTTCTTTTCCTTATGTCTCTTTTTTTTCCTTTGTGTATATGCTTCTGCTTACATGTCAAATTTAATTTAATTTTTCTTTTAAATAATTTTAATTTACAAAGCTCAACTCTGCCTGCATATGCTAAAACCAAATCAGTGACTAGACAGGATATTGCTCTCCTTCGTGATTGCCTTAATGCACAAATACCGAGATTTACAGATGAACTGTTGGTTAGGTAAGAAATGAGTCAAAGTGCCCCTTCCTGTTTAGTATGTGCAATATGGTTTTCTACAATAAGTTCTATTATACCCTGTGCTTCTGTGTGAGTGTGGCATATGTGACTAGTAATAAATATTTGGATATATTGTTTTAGTATTTCCCATTCCACTTTCTCATAAGCAGATACTGTTTACTCTAATTTTATAGTCTTAGGTAATTCAGATACTTTATGCAAACAAGTTCCAGCATAATCTTTCATTTAATTTTATTTTTTAACAAATATTTGCATTGTCATCTAGTCAGCTCTTTTGCATCTTTATTAATTAAATCATTGTGAATCCACATTTTTGTGTAGCAAGAACATTATTTTATTATTTAATATCTAACATTGTGTTCCTTTCTTTGTTTTCTTTTTCTTTCTCTTCTACCATTGGATGCAATGCACTGGCACTAGTGAACTGCAGCCCTCCCTTGACAGGGCTAGGAGTGCTAGTACCAACTGCTTGAGACCAGATACTAGTTTGCATTCACCAGAACGAGAAAGGTATAAAGTAAAGACTTATGAATTTTTTGTCATCTGTGCTGGTGAACTTTGTCAGTTTTGTTTGTTTCTCCATATGAGTCTTCTACATGTCTGTACATTCATATCTGCTTTGGTATTTGTTGACATTTTTGCCTCTATACTCATATATGCCATGCAAATTGTATGTTGCAGTTTATAATTGCTTCTGGCTTCTTGCTTTCCCTAATTTTAGTTCAAGCTGATGTCATTGTTTACAAAAGTCCTCAGTATGCTGATAATAACACTGCAGTGTTAAGTGAGGTGAAGGAGTACTTCTTGATTGTTAATCTTCATTATCATCTGCTAAAATATATTATTTTTATTTCTTGCCCATTCTGCAGATTGTAAAAGAGATGGTGACATAAAATTTACAAATTATATGAATTAGGATACAAATCATGAGTTCAAAATCTTATTTTTCAAATCGAAATTGTAATTTGTATAACAGTGTATACATTAATTCCATAAACCAACAAACTACATTCTTTTTTAATCTAGTCTGCCACATCTTTTGTTGTTTGTTTAAATTGTAAAACAAAATAATGTAATTGTTTTTGCACTATATAACACTGTATTTAGTTAACTTACACTTTAAGAATATATTTTCAGCGATTTAAATTTAAAAAGTCTACATTTGCTATGTTGAATAGAAACATTTTATTGATATTTTCTGAACTTTGATTTTTAAATCTAGCTTAGTTCAAAGTCACAGCAAACCCAAATACTATTGTCAGATTTTGTAATGATAGGTGTGTCTTAATAGGAATTTTTTGAATTTTTGAAGTATTTTTGTCTATGAATTCTTCCTTTTATAATGTGAAATCCTGACCCCATTGATATCAGTATTAAAACTCCATTGGCTTCGGTAGATGTAGGATTTAGCTCATTATGTAAATATTCAATTAATATGTAGGATAATAATGTGAAGTTGCACATCAATCAGTCCAGAAAAATTGGTTATTGAAATTAGCACAGCATTGAGCATTGTTACTGTAAAGTGACTGTAATTTTAAACTATCAAGACATTGCCTTTGAGATTCTATTTCTCTTATTTTTCCACTATATTTTTTAAAATGTTAATTAAATTAGGGTATTTGTCTTCATAAACTGTATTCTAGCCAAACCTTCAACTAATGTTAATCAAAATAGCTCCATGCCAGTTTACTTTATTTGAAGATCTAGCCCCTAATGTCAACATCTACTGCATGCATAATTTAAAAAAAAAAAGGTATTAGAGGAGTTATAAGCAACCCGTAACCCATAATGACAGTAGTGTAAACTTTTTATATTTTTCTAGGAACAATAAAAATAATCCAAAAAATAGTTACATTTTCAAAGCAGGACATGTGATTTGCCATATTAGTTTCAAGATAAATTGTGTCTCTGAAACTCTGCGCATCAGTTTGAAAATTCAGGGAACAATAGGTGATATGGAAAAACAAATCTTAGCTGAAACTAAACCCACTTTTGAAGCTATGCAAAAGTCTCATGTTTCCATGATTCTTGTCCATCAGGTTTTCAACCTAGGTATGGAGTAGAAACTACAAGACTGGCTGTTGACCTCTTTTAGGCCTTGTCTATATATACCCAGAGATTGACACTCCAGAGATCAATGTTTGGGGTTTGATTTTGTGAGTCTAGTAAGGACTCACTAAAGCAAATGCTGATGGTGATCCCATTGACCCCAGTACTCCATAGAGTCATAAGGAGTAAGGGAAGTTGATGGGAGAAACTCTCCCATCGACCTTCCATAATGGGACTTAAGGTATATCGACTCCAGCTACACTATCGTTATAGCTGGAGTTGGATGTCTTAAATCGAATATCTCCTCCAGACTGGGCCTTAGTGAATGCTGTCCATGTTGATCCTTTGAGGCCCGTCAGCAATTTGTAATAACACTGAACATTAGGTTTAGTTGATTGGTCTGTAGTCCCTAGGTAGGTCATATAGTGTCACTCGGGAGTGTTTTTGGTTATGGATTGTTATTTCTGTCCATGGGATCTCTTGTGCAGGATGCTCACAGAGTTCAAATAACTCATGATGTCTTTGTGCCAAATAATTAATACATGAACTGTGAATTCATTAATATACTGATGTCATACATTTCATTTAATCAGACCCAGATGGTATTTTTTGGATGCCTGTCCAATCTTGGGAGCAAGATGTAAAAGTTTAATTTAGACATTAGAATAACACAAAAGCAGCACTTTTGATTTTGAGAGAAAAGATTTTCTAGGGATTTCAGATCTCATTATTTAATGTAGTTGTCCACTCTTTGTCCAGCAATCTGTCACCTAGATTATACTTCATCCAGAGTCATAAGCTGCATTTCTTTCTTATTTGCTTATTTGGTGGACTTTGTTTAGAATGTATTTGTAAGATTCTGTTCAGCAGATATCAAGAACTCCACATATTGAACCATGGTTGGTTTGTGAGCATCATGTCACTGTTTCTGAAGTACGTGCTCCTTTTATGGAGAAGTATAAATAAGGGATTCCTAATGTAGTCTTCAAGGTTTCCTTCAGAAGAATTATGCTTGTACTCCCTTTCGTTTCAGAAAATATAAAGTAAATGAAATGTGAAATATGAAGTTAGAAGGGCCATTGTGAATAAGGTGGTATGGACTATGTTTAGTGACCTGACAATAAAGCACTTCGTTTGCACAGTAATGTTTTATTGGAAATAGTACCAATGGTTAATCTCTCTCCAGTATTGTACTTAGAATCCTACATCAGATATTTTTAGTTCCTTTATAATAAAAGATGGCAGTCTCAGTCTCATAGCCTTACTGTACAGTCATTAGGATAGTTTTCATCATTTTTGTTTATATTATAAACACTTTGTTTCAGCGTAGGTTTGCAGGGTTTCATAGAGCTTGCACCGTTGTTGCTCTGTGAGCATCCGGACAGTGCATCTGTATAATTTAATTTTAACATAACTCCATTTGAACACTGTCAGGTAGAATGCTGGCGCTGGCATTCTGCCTGGTTTCCCATGAAAAGAATTACCCCACTGCCTTCCTCTGTTACTGTATATGGCAATGGGTCAGTACAGATGGCAATCAGGCCTTTACAGCACATGCTCAAATAGTTTCCCTTTTTCTAAGGCTGCTTAAATAAATTCCTGCACTGTATTAGTGGTGGCAGGAAATGTTGAGATATACATTACAGTTCATTGAGTGCTGCAGACAGCTTCATTTAAACAGTTTGAGTAGTATAAGGGCAAATTTTTGTCATAGCTAACAGACAAAAACTACAGAATTTGAAATTTGGGAAGAGATCTACTTGAAATAATGAGGATGACTGTTCAAAACACAGTGCCACTGTATTGTAGGAGTGGGAAAGAAAAAGAATTAGTCTGGGTACCAGGGGAATAAAACAAAGTCATTTATCCTAATTGTGTTGCATGTAAGTCGAGCAGATTTCTTAGCCATGACCAGTGTTCCATCTAGGCTGCGTGGCAGCACAGCTTCACAGGTGATTAATCAGCCCTGCCCGGTCAGATGCTCAGGGCTCCATGCATGGAGCTGACTGACTGGGAGGGGCTGATTAATCAACTGTAAAGTTGTGCTGCTACCCAGCCTAGAAGGAACACCGGCCATGACCCAAGACTGCAAGTTAGCTCCCTATTTTAAAATTCTAGGCTGATGAATATACTTTGGCTAAGTAATATATCACTGATAAAATCTATAAATAAATAATCATAGTAATAATGATGTAGAAGATTTCTTCATTCTTTGCTCCTCCACTGTAAGTAAGTGAAGGCAGAATCTGCCTACCTGAAAAATATGGATTCTGTGAATTAGGCCTGGTCTGTACTAGAAATTAATACTGATACAGGGTGGTTCTCCCTGGTCTGGCATCCTCAGGACCTGAACTATCCCAAACCAGGGAATTTGCCACACCAAGGGAGATCAGTGCTCCCCTGCTGGCTGCTCCACTCCCAGGCTCCTCTCCCTCGAGTTCCCTGCCCTGTTGTTGACCCCACTAAGGCTGGCCTGGCATGGCTCACTGCCCCAAGATCTCCCCGAGTTCCCAGCCAGGACAGACTGGCTGCGCTGCCACACAGTGTTCCCCAGGGTTCCTGGGTAGATGCAACCCAGCCACCGCCAGCCCTACGGCTGCAGAGGTTCCACAGCCAGGATGACCTGGCCACATTTGCACCACTACTAGGGCCAGTCCCATTGCCGCTGGGAACTCCCTGAGGTTCCTCAGCTGGGGCTGCCTGCCTCTGCCAGCCCTGCTTCAGCCACAGGATCCACAGTCAGGGCTGCCCAATCTGGCCCCGCTGTCATTGGGTATCCCGGGATTCCCAGCTGAAGCTGCCCGGCTACCGCCAGCCCTGCTGTCACAGGGGGCCTGTCCCTGGCTGGGTCGCCTGCCATCAGAAGCTCCGCTGCAGCTGGGGTTCCCCATTTGGGGCCAGGATTCCCCAGCTGCCTGGCCCACCTGTCTCCGGGGGTTCTTTGGCCAGGGCAGGAATTCCCCCAGTTACCACCTGATCCAGCCACTGCTGGCCCAACTGGGGCTCCCCAGCCCTGTGTCTCTCAGCTGGCTCCTGCTCCTACCTCCAAAGCTCTTTGGTTCAGCAACATCCGTGGCCCTAGCGGTCTGTAGATGTTGTTGGACCAGAGTCACGGATTTGGGAGGTTCAACCTTTCTAGTTTGATGTGTGATGATTTGAATGCCCAGGCCTGAGCTGTCTTGTCATTTTCATTCTGTCACTCTGTCAGGTTTTGGTTTGGTTTTTAGTCAGCTATCTTATTTCTATGTGTACATTTCTCTGTTGCCAGACAGTGTGATATATGTGACCCCAACTTTAGGAAAGAACATAAGCACATGCTCAAGTGTACTATCCTGTATGAGGGATAATGATAGTTACGTGGTAGCAGGTTTGTGGTGTGTGGGTTTTTGGAGGTTTTTTTAGCCCAATCCTGCAGAGATTTACTACTGTGGTGGGCAACCTGTGGCCTAATGGTTGCATGTAGCACATTGGAGTTCTGTGTGTAGCCCGCAAGACATTTTGTTAACTGTTGCCCATATGCAGGGATGCCAGATTCTGCTGGTTTCCATCTGTGTATGTTTTTTTTTCATATCAGTATTATTAAAATGAAACATGCTTAAAGCAATGGTGCATAAAATGAGGTAAACGCTGGTTGCACACACATTGATTGTAAGACCCATGGGCTCCCTCTGCATCCAATTAAAGTGCTGTTACAGTTCAGTCAGCACACCCTACAAATTCTAAGTATGCAAGTGCAGTTAGCAAAACTACCCTATCCCAGGAGACCATCTTGGTTACAACAATCTTGTGGCCCACTATGATGAAGGAGGGCCAGTCAGGCAGCCCACACACTAGCCTAGGTTGCCCATTGCTAACTTAACTAACCAGTCATGGTTCTATTTGTAGGTTTTGGTATAAAGTGATGAGTTAAGGCAGACCTGAGCAAATAAAACTGAGGAACAAATCAAAGTGACTGAATTAAGTAGAACACAGTCTCTATTATTTGCAAATAATGTGAATATTACACCTAGGCTACGTCTACACTGGCACCCTTTTCTGGAAATGCTTAAAATGGAACAGTTTTCCATTATAAGTATTTCCAGAAAAGGCGCGTCTACATTGGCAGTACTTTTTCCGGAAAAGCGTCCGTGGCCAATGTAGATGTGCTTTTCTGGAAAAAAGCCCCGATCGTCATTTTCGCGATCGGGTCTTTTTTGCGGAAAAGACTACTGTGCTGTCTACACTGGCCCTTTTCTGGAACAGTTTTTCCAGAAAAGGACTTTTTCTCGAACGGGAGCAGCATAGTTTTTCTGGAAAAACACTGACAATTTTACAGTAGATCGTCATTGCTTTTCCGGAAAAGCAAGCGGCCAGTGTAGACAGCTCGCAGCTTATTCCGGAAAAGTGGCTGCTTTTCCGAAAGAAGTGGCCCAGTGTAGACACAGCCCTAGGGTTTTCTATGTTCCTATGGAAAAAGTAATACTATTGATTGCTCTGGAAGCAAGACTTGATAAGGATTTTTAAAATGGTAAGCTTTGGTGCCATATCTGGTCCCCATGACCTTATGAAATCCTGGAATGGAGATATTTGAAGAAATTCCTGTGAATAGGTATTAGAAAATTTGGTGCTATAATTTATTCTTGATCTAATTGAGGCCCTATTCTGCTCCAGAATCACAATATTTGCATAAGATTTTTATTAAACCATTAAAAAAAATTCCAAAACCTACACCCTCTAGCATTAGGAAAGTGTGTTTATACTGCATGTTTTTAGAACTCTTGATTGAATGTGTCTATTTATATTTGAACTAATTACATAACAATATTGTTAATATTAGGTATGCACTGATTTATTTTTTCTGTTTCAGGCGGTATAAAAGAGTAAATTGTTGCATGTTTCTCTACATTGTAATGTTGCACATGCTTTTTACGGTATACAAAGTAAAGCCCCATTGAAATATTGCAGAAAGAAAGTTCCTAATGCATGATGATCAAATCTAATAACGTTATGTAAAATGCTATTAAATATTTCTAGAGGATATCAGCATATTAAGGGCTTTCATTGACTGCACTGATGCATTAACATTTTCTTTAATCCTTGCTTTGGAGAGAAAAAGTAACTAATTACTAACAGTCTACACACTTTGGAACCTTTTAAAAGATCTACCTAAATGTGCAGTGATGCTAAATCTCCCTGAAACTTTTGTTATTTGCATGTTCCATAAGTGAAACATTGTTTCTTAATATATGGACTGGAAGGTTGCCTCAGAAAGTGAATAGTTTATGTAAAATATTACTGTCAGAATAGAAATATATTTTGTTTTTTAAACGATTTCTTACCTATATTTTCAAAACTAAGCAGTGCTAGGTTTATACTGTATTTTTCCATTATGACTGAGCCTTTCTATTGTTTCAAATTAAATGAACTTTTGAAAGAAGAAAACTATTAAAATTAATTGTGTTTACGCTCCTCCCTTCCATACTGATTAAATAATTTGATTTTATAAATAAAAGAATCAGAGACTGGAATATATTTATTAAATGTGTTTGCACGTCTTCTTTGAAATATAAAAGAAATTTTACAAATTTACTCTAGTCAAGTCGTCAAATATATATTCATTATTGTCCCTTTACTGACATGAAAATGTATAATATTTGCTATAAATATATCATTATTAGTGTGAGTAATAAATAAAAATGTCATACATTTAACATTAGAACCAACTCTACAAGTTAATACATTTAACTTCTTAAAATTATCATTATACTTAATAAGACTTGTGAGACCTTACTCCCAAGTATCAGCCTCACCTTTTGGACAAGTAAACTTCAATTTGATGAATCTCATTTCTTCTTTCTCACTCAGTTGTCTGTATAAAGGAATTCAACTAAGAAGTCAGTAGTGACTGATCCTGCCTTTTTAAAAATTGTTCTCTGTCTCTGTGACAGTGCTCAGCAATGAAAGAATTCCTTTCTTTTGTTTATGGGATGGATGGTGTCACAGGCTCTTCTACTAGAGAATAAATACTTTTTGATGGACATATAATGTAAAGAGTGCAAAAAAGTTCATGCCACCAAGGAAACATTACCTTTTTGGAATATGTAATATCCTCCGTTGCTGCATAAGCCAAAAAACTTTCAAAGCTTTTGTGTGTTAGCAGTCCCAAAGAAAATTCGTAACTGCACAGACCCTATCCATAGGAGATTGAATAGGGCCCCTAAAAGCTGATAAGTAGAGTACATGGTGACATAGGATGAGCTCTAGGAAAATTAAGGATGTTAGGGCACAGCTACACTGCAATTCTAATTCAGGATACTGGAGTATCCCAAAATAGCTATCCCGCGTCTTCACAGCAAGCCCATTATTTTGGGCTCGCTATTCCGACATCCCTGTAAACCTCATTTTGTGAGGAGTAAGGGACATTTCGAAATAGCGCTTTATTTCAAAATTTGGCGTTGCGTAGACAGCGCCAAATGACAAAATAAGCTGTTTCGAAATAGCATCGAAATAAGATATGCAACTTGCATATCTTAAGATATGTAGCTCAAATGGCATGTCTTATTTTGAGTTATAGTGCCGTGTAGATGCACCCTTAGAGTTAAACTGGTTAACTGATAAGCTGATGCTTATTGGTTAATATTATTGGTTATACTCAGCCTGCTAGGGGAGTCAGCTGCCACTCTGCTGTGGGCTCTGCAGTTTAGGAGTCAGATTGGCTCCATCCTGGGACGTGCCAGGTCCCAGCACCCAGCTCTCAGCTCCTCGGGATGCTTCTCTGCAATATAAAGGAAAATAAGTCATTTTATGTACCACATTCTACAGTAAGTAGAATTAAGCTATGTCTAGACTGCAGGCTTCTTTCAGAAGAACCTCTTTTCGGAAGAGATCTTCTGAAAAAACTTCTTGTGAAAGAGAGCGTCCACACACAAAAGTGCATTGAAAAAGTGATCTGCTTTTTCAAAAGATACCGTCCTCACTGAATGGACGCTATGTTGCATTTAAGCTGTGGTTACTATGGATGGAGTGGCCACCTGTGCTTTTCCCTCTTCTTTCGAAAGTACTCCCTCTTCCCTGTCCACACATGCCTTTTCCCAAAAGAGCTCTTTTGGAAAAAGGCTTCTTCCTCATAGAAAGAGGATTACCAATACCGGAAAAACCCCTCTGTTCTTTCAGTTTACTTTTGGAAGAACGTGATTGCAGTGTGGGCATAATTCAGATTTTGTCGGAAAAATGCAGCTGTTTACGCTACAGAGTTTTGTCGGAAAGCTATACCCTAACATGATGCTTTAATCCCTTTACTCTAAAGGTCTCTTTACAATTTAAAATCACACATTTTCACTGAAAACAATGTTCAATACAAAGAGTTAATTGGAAAAAAATCCCTGGAAAAATGAAGGAGAAAATAACAGCTAATCAATGCCCGAAAAGCTCTTCTAGTTTGTAATTCCAACTTCTAGCATTTGAGGATGTTTGAAATACTTTATATACCAAGAAAATTATTTAAATCTTTCCAAATTATGTATGCTTGTATATTCATTATAATTGTACAGCATACTGCTATATGGAAAACATACCACAACAAACAGACATAAGAATAGTGTAAAAAAATTGTGAAAAATTTTTAAAATAATATTAGAAACAAAAATTATTATATTCAAAACAATCAGTTCCATTACTTTTTGGGGTACTTTTCCAGTCTCAATTCCCATACCTATTTTAATTTTATTACTGACTAAATATTTTTTTCCTGTTTTATTGACTGGGCAAACAGGGGTAGATGGTCCCCCTCCCTAGAGAGGAGACGACCTACTAGTCCCAGGATTCATATCCAGCATGCATCTCCGGAGGATGACAGGTACTAGCCAACTCCTCCTAACTGAAAAGTGGCTTACTGCATCGCGCAGTTTGAGAGAAGTATGACAAAGATTTTAAAAGATGATTAGTATACTTTAATGATGAAAATCCCAAAGTAAAGTGTCATCTCAAAGCGCATATCTGTATTTTGTTAAGTTATTACAAAGAACCTAAGAAAGTGTGCCTAGTCAAATCATCTGATTGTGTGAACATTCCAAAGCCAAGTTTCTGAAAACAAAATGTCTAATCTGATGTTGAAAATCTATACAAGTGAGCTCTTTGTTCTTTTTTTCCTGTTTCTGTTGAGGTAGCTGGGTTTTTTTTTTCCTCCCTATGGTGCCTTATAGTATGTTAATATCTATCAGGGAACCTATTTTATTTGTTATATCTTACTAAAATTGTTTCTTTATCTGCAAAGTGCTTATCAGGAAAAAATGTGTATACACACAGAGAGAGGGGCTCTGTGGTGTACATATACTAATTGATATATATAATAATTGACACTATTATTAAATTCTTCAATAAAGAAAAATTATCTTCAGGGGACAAGGTAGGTTTTGATCAGTAATGCCAGTGCTTTGGATCCACTTTATATGCTGATTTGCCAAATGTGAACAATGTAAACACCTCCCTTTGTTTTGTTTTCTTGCTCTGGTTTTCTTATCCAAATCAGTTTGAGTCCCTTATGGTATGTGTAATAGGAATAGTCTTCTCCTACCTTGTCATTTATTCTGCTTAAGAATCTATGTTTATGTCACATCCTGTTTTGCCTGGCCTTAGGATTATTGTACCAACTTCAGTGGAGACACTACCAGCGTATAGATGTACCTGGATTCCATCTTTGTGCTATACAGGTTGATCTCCCTAGTCCAGCACCTTTGGGACCTGACCAGTCCTGAATGAGGGAATTTGCCTGCAGCCCCCCACCCACCATCTTGCCCCCATTGCCAGCTCCACTTACACCCAGCCAGCCCCCTTATCTCCAGGCCCGGCCAGCCCCGGCTGGGCTGTTGCTAACACCAGAGTGGGGCTGCTGGATGCTGGCCCTGCATTCACTGGCTCCAGCCTCAGCCAGGCTGTCGGACACCGGCCCTGGCCCTGCAGACCCTAGCTCTGGCCCCATTCTGGCTATTGGATGCCTCCCCATGGACTCTGGTTGTGCTGAGCTCCCAGTGCAGCAGGACTTCTGGGCCCTCTTTTACAGGGCTCCCTGCCTGGCAGGGCTCCTTTCTGCCTCTTTCTGTGGTCACAGTTTTGGGAAGTGCAACTTACAGTATGGTTTAAAATTACCAAGTGAAAATTGTTAAGCAGTTATTCCAAAAGTGGCTCCATTTTGCAGTCACTGTTGCCTTAAACATTTAATTGATCCATAGTTGGGCCCGATGTGACCTCTGTTTTTGTTTTTTGATACTTCTGAAAGGACATTATCATATTAGTACACACAGAATTAGTACACACAGTCCATATTTATGTAACTTCTTGAATGTTTTAGCTTAAGAGGTAAGTAGAAGTTAGGTTTGGAACCTAAGTTAGTCTATATCAGTGGTTCTCAAACTATGATCCATGGACTACTAGTAGTGTGCAGCCACTTTGCAGGTGGGCCATGGCTCGAGCTCAGCACCCCCACCCTGCATTATAATGCTCCAGCATTATGCCCTCCCGGCCCATAAGGTTGGAGTGCTAGTGCTGCCTTCCCTCTAGGGGTAAGTCTACACTACCCCCCTATTTCGAACTAGGGGGGGTAATGTAGTCATACGGAGTTGCAAATGAAGCCCGGGATTTGAATTTCCCGGGCTTCATTTGCATAAAGCCGGCCGGCGCCATTTTTAAATGCCGGCTAGTTCGGACTGCGTGCCTCGTGGAACGAGGTGGAACGAGGTATACAGCTAGTTCGGATTAGGAAGCCTAATCCGAACTAGCTAGTTAGTGCCGCGTGTAGCCGCACGGCACCCAGTCCGAACTAGCCGGCATTTAAAAATGGCGCCGGCCGGCTTTATGCAAATGAAGCCCGGGAAATTCAAATCCCGGGCTTCATTTGCAACTCCGTATGACTATATTACCCCCCCTAGTTTGAACTAGGGGGGTAGTGTAGACATACCCTAGGTGGGGAAGGGGATGAAAGTCCCAGGCCTCAGAGCCAAATCCAGCTTGCAAGGGGAATAAGTGGCTCTACATGCTGACTCTCCCCCTCCCACAGCTAGGGAAACAGCAGGGCAGACACGCTGCCTGGAGACTTTTCCCACTGCTTCTATTGACCAGAATCCAGCCAATGGGAGCAGCGAGAGGCTGAGCCTGGGACAAAGTGTTTGGGAACAGAGGGGGTCACAAAAGCAGATAAGTGCCCTCCCTTTCCCTCATGCCTAGACCCCACGTCACTACCCCCTTCATACACCTTCCTGTTGAGACCTCACACCCTCAGCCTGCTCCTGCACCCTCACCCTTGGCCAGACACTCTACTCCCACCCTGCTCCTGCACACTCCCTTGCTCCTGCATCCTCCCCCTGGCTAGACACCCTACCTCCCACCCAGAACTTACCCCTCACTCCTGCACCCAGACTCCCACCCAGATCCTGCATCCCCATCCCTATTCCGCTTGCTGGCAGCCTTGTCCCACATACTGAACCCCTCATTTTTGGTCACACCCGAGAGCCTAGGGGGAGGTTCCAAAAATCCACTAGCCTCAGAATCCCAGAAGTGTTAAACTGGCCTATGGGAAGCCTTTCCTGTCTTTCTCCCATGGGGCTGGAGTGCCAGGGGGAGTGAGGAATCTCATTTGGGGGCCACATCAGTATTGGGATTTTTGGAGGGAATTTTTTTGCTTCTCACTTGTGTGGTACCTGACTGATTTTTCTGTGGGTCAGTGGCTCCTGACTCCAAAAAAGGTTCCCCACCTCTGCCATAAATTTTGTGTTGGACATAAATTAATATTTTACTTTATTTAAAAGGAAGTTTGTTAAACCAACATGAGAACGTTAAAGTGCTTAATCTGTTTAATAATTTTGATTAATATTTATTTTTGTATTGGTTAAATTAAAGCATTTTTTCAAGCTGCAGCACTAGGAAAATGACTCGGGTGTCATTATGTAATTAATGGTGAGTTTCCATTAGCACCTGGTAGTCTGAGAAAAGGTTTGCATTGAGTATGGTGGGCCACAGGTTAAAAAGTTTGAGAACCACTGATCTATATGTAGAGGAGTATGGAAAATTGGAGTTGTTATTGTGAGAAAGCTGGTGAAAGCAAGACAGGACATTTGACTTTAGCAAGGACATGAACCAGAGTTATGTTGCCACAGTGATTTGGTTGTACAGTAACTGGTTTGAGCAAGGTATTTAATAAGTGTTTTTGGAATTCTGGAAAGGTGTTTTAAAATGCTATCTATATTAATAGTATGGGAAGGCTAGTCATGCAGATTCTAATTTAAATAATGTGTAAGGATAACCAATAAGGAAATGGTAGGAATATAATTATGGAAAGCAATAGTTCATGTTAATTAATACTGTAATAGATTGAAGAAGTATCCTTGCTACATTGCAGGGAAATGCCAATTAACCACTAGGTTTCACAATTATAAGGCTTTATCTCATGGTGTTGTCAGTGCACAGATTACCCACTGATACATATTTTTGAATCTTTGAACATATACATAATTGTAATATTTGAGTAATCATAATTGCATACCTGTTTGCTTGACTAATCTTTTCCCATTTGAATGAAGTACGGTTGTATTATTTGAAGTGTTGCCCAGTAGTTGTCTTCTAAACACATTTTTTATTATTATGGAATTTTCTATAACTAACCTGAAAACTAAGCTGGGGTTTATTGCAGCTATTTAATATTAACTGAGAGCATTTCAACATAAAGCTTTAAAATATTACACAGTTCTAAACCACAAGCATTTTTAAGCAACTCTTTCCTCCCACTGTAATAGCCCTTTGAAGTCATGAAAAGTCTCTCATAGACTTTGGTGGATCAGACCCTTAATGTGTAGGGCCTTCAGGTGAAATCCTGACTCAATGGATATCAACAGTAGTTTTGCCACTGATTTCAGTGGAACAGCAATTCATCCTAATACTATAATCTTTAGTTAGGCATCTTTAGTTTTGGTGTCATTGGGACTTTTGCCTGAGGACTTCAAGATTGTAACCATAGAGTGTACCCCCCCATCATCTGTTTTCCTATTTTTGTTTTAATAAGGGTTATACATTAAAGAGTCTGCGTAAGAGGAATACTATTATAGAAAAACCTTTAAGTCATAAAAATATACTAGAGTTCTCATTGTAAGACAAGCTCCTTTCTGAAGACATTATAAAAAACCTTACAAAGACAGATTTTTGTTTCTTTTTGTTTATAAGTCTAGTTGAGGTGGTTTCCTCACTGAAGGGCAGAAAAGGGTGTGCATTACCCTTTTTACTAGTCAGATACTGCTTGTTTACACTTTCCTGACAGGTAGAAGTTACAGCAAAGTAGGCTCCTTTAAATGTCCATACAGTGTGGACGTCCAACAAGTACGTAAGAAAGAGTTCAATTTACACAGCAAAAATGGAAATAGCAAAATGCAACCAATGGGATCCATGAGGCTCTGTAATATCTTCTATTAGACCAATTTCTGTTTGTGAAAGAAACAAGCTTTTCAGTCATAGAGTAGTTCTTCAGGTCTAGGCTGAAGAAGATCTTTGTGTGTCTCACCCAATTTATCTTTCTAATATCCTGGGAATGACATGGCTATAACCACACCCAATATATCAGAAACATGTTAACTATATCTGTATTTGTTATAAGTTATAGCATTTATCAGCAAGACATGAACAAAGAAGGCCCCTCCCCAATTTTTAAAAACAGTAACATACCGATAAAGATTTCTCCAGGAGTAAGAAGTAAAACAAACTTAGCTTAAAAAATCAAATTGTAAAACTCTTACTTCAAAACTAATATCCACTTGTGGAAACATCCAGTTAAATTCTATAGAAGCAGTAGGGGAGAAAAATAATTTTTGAAGTATTCTTACTGGGTCAGTTTGCTGCCTTCGTATAATTGAGAGGTTATTTTTCACGGCAGCAAAACAACTATTAATATTTGTACAGATATTTAGGAAAGTTTCTTTCTTTGCTTTTTTTTAAATTTTATCACAATATCTTGCTGGGATTTCATAACAAAATATTATTTTTCAAATACTACTTGAATATTCATGTGCATTGAGGAATAAATATGTATGCATTTTTCTAATTAATAAATTTGTAGATTTAGTTTCAGTGAGAAAAATGAGAATTGGTAAGCTACAGTGCTATAGTTCAGTTTTTCACATTTTTCAATCACTGATGTCTTACATTTTTAACTACCATGGTCCCACAGATTTTTAAAATATCCCTCTTAAATATATGAATAAATGGACCATCAGAAATACAGTTTGGTCAGTACTTAGTACCTGAATGCTGTTGGTTATGTATCTTGACTGCATGTCTCCATCTTCACTGCATGTGACCATCTCTCTGTTTCTGTCCATTCTGTCCAATTCACTTCCATGTTTCCAAAATTTGTGAAGAACAAGGACGCTGGAGTCTTGCATTGCAAAACAGGACAGTATAAACCACCTAAGTGCTAAACCTGGAGCAACACAGAGGTATCCTTATTAAGTCACATTTTAGTTCCAAATAAATGAGTTATTGATTCTAACTTATGAACAGTGAACAATTTCTTTCCCTGACAACATGCTCTGTTGTAAATGTTTTATTTAATATGCTTTTTCATTCTCTTTATAGCTAAATATAGCTGTTTGCTTTTTCATATTAACATATTTAACCTCTTTATATAAAGCACTCAAAGTGACTGAATTTGAATGTGGAGTTAAGTGTCCACCATATATCCTGTGTGCTTTTTCTGGATATTGGGTACAGGCATTAAAGCCGTGTTTCTCAACCTTTTTTTATAAAGTACTCCTTTTAAAAAAAATTATAAGTAACCCCAGTACCTACAGTTTTCAAACACACAACTTTTTTTTCTACCATTGCAACACATTTGTTTAAACAACTTAATCATAGCCAGGCTGGCAATGAACTTTTTGGGTGTAAAAAGTACAAAAATAATAAAGCGCTGTAAAATTTGAAACAAGACATTTCCCACCCCCCCCCCCCCCGACTTCTCTCGAGTACCCCTAATGGTATTCGTACCATTGGTTGAGAAACATTGCATTAAAGCATGGGTCAATGCACAGCTCGCACTTATTCACCCCATGAACTGGGCACTGCAATTGAACCTGCATGGAGATGGAGAGGGGCACTATAATTTACTCTTGGAATAAGGCAACAGCAAATCACAGCCCTCCAGAATAAAAAGAAAGGGAATTGTGATTTAAGCTGTGCTTTCCTCAGGAGCAGACCAGAGAATTAGTTGTGATTCAGTCTTGTTTTTTCCCTTTCTCCCTCTTGGGGCACAGTGAGTTACTTACCCCCTTTCATGGAGCATCTTATTCATGCCCATGTCCCCAATACACAAACAGCAGTAATCTTTATGGTTACACTCAGGCTCCTGGTACATGCAGGGAACCAGCTTAAAAGCCTGCTCCTGATGTGCACTGGTTCCCGGGGAGCTGCCTGCCTCCCCACTCCCCTTGCACTGTTGCCTCTGTATCAGAGGCAGCTCCCAGGGAGCCTCCCTGCCTCCCCCTGAACACTGCTGCCCCTGCGGTCTTCTGGGGAGCCACCGGCCTTTCTACTCTCCCTGCCACTGCTGCCTCTGAGACAGAGGCAGTAGCATGGGAGGGCAGGTGAAAGCCGGTTCATGTGAGGAGCTGGCTTAACAGCTGGCTCCCCACGTGTATACAGGAAGCCGCTGACATTTTTAGCAATTACACTGTTGTTTAAACAAATTTTAACATCCCTAGTTTGTAGTAATGATCATCAGGCAAATAGCCACTTTTCTTGCTCCTACTCAGACCAAGCAATACTCATAATCTGAGCATGGCCAGTTGAGAGTAAGGGGAAGTTGGTCTTACTCTGCTTCGAAACCCTCTAAGGTCTGAGACATGAGTATACCAATTGAACTCAATGGGCTATTCAGGTGCTTAAAGATAAATGCACACTTCCCTGAATTGCTGGATTGGGGTCCTCTATGGCAGCTGCAGCATACATAAAGAATCTTAAATATTGACATAGCTCTCCTGGTGAATGCCCCTTAAATTTAGCCACTTATGGGGGGAGTAGAATTATGCAAGGAAAATGAATGTAATAAAAATATAGCATTGTAATGCAGGATTATAACTTGTAATTAGGGCTTTTTTTTTGGTGAGTGTTTTAGGTAAAAAACTACATTCTTTTAGTCACTGCTAATAAGACTTTCATGCATGTACCATATTGTTTAAGATGTGTTTCCCCATTCCATTCTTACCTCTGAAACAATACGTCATACAATAGATTGAGGAGAACATGAAAATCATCTGTGATGAATTATTTTAGCTCTAATTTGCTCTATTGTCTGTATACATAATTTTCAGGAGAGACTTTTGAGTTTCTTCTCATTTTCACCAAGGTCTAAAATATAAATCTTGAAATGGTTCTTTAATCTGACTTACGTGACTAATGCATGCAGTTGATTTTATCAATATCAATTCCTTGTGCATCTCTTCCAGTCTTGTTTCCTGTGTAATAAAGAATTTGGAGTTTGTCAACCATCTTTGTGCAACAGTGAGCAAACAATCTCTCCCTCTTCTTTGACCTCATTTGAAAGGCAGTCTGCATTGGTTACCTCTCAGGGTATGTCTACACAGCATTTTTGAACAAACTGCCTCGCCCGGCTCAAAAAACTTGGGCTAGCAGGGCTTCCACTAATACACTAAAAATGCCTGTATAGACAGTACTTTGAAGTTGTGTCCCTGTTGACTGGAGCTAGGAGGCTTAATCCCTACTCAGAACAAAATACTATGTAGTAATATTCTACAAGACTAACCTATATGTATTTAAGGAAACATTGATGTCCACTCTCTGTAGAGAGGGACGGATATTAAATGTTTCCTGACACAGGCCCATTGACTAAGGGCTGGGAATTGCCCCAGTGATACAAAAGGGCCAGGGAACTGGTGGGGCTGGCTGCCTGTTATCTTGAGGGTACGTCTACACTAGCTCATTCGTTCGATGAGGACAAGCGAAGTTGCAAATGAAGCCCAGGATTTAAATATCCCAGGCTTCATTTGCACGTTCCCGGGTGCCGCCATTTTTAAATCCCCTTAGTCCGAACTCCATGCCCGCAGCTACATGCGGCACAGAGTAGTTAGTTCGAATTAGAGATCCTAATTTGAACTATCATTACTCCTCATGGAATGAGGAGTAACGGTAGTTCGAATTAGGATCTCTAATTCGAACTACCTACTCCATGCTGCGTGTAGCCCTCCGGTTGCCCTCATTTGCCTACCTTGCTCGAACTAATGAGCTAGTGTAGATATACCCTAACAGAGTAAAAAATGCATTTAAGTCCATAAAAGCAATAAGCATTGAACCTATGTCTTGTATGAGACCACTATACTGTATAGCAATAGAAATTAGCAGGCACTCACTTGTAACTACTGACAAAAACAGCAAATTAAGTTTTTTTTAGAGGATTAGAGGATTTATCTGGAGTTGCCTGGGTCCTTGTGGGGGCTCAGAGTGGGGAGGGAAGGAAGCCGGGAGGTGGGGACGGGCTCAGGGCAGGAGGTGGGAAGTACAGGATTCAAGGAAGAGATGGAAGGTTCAAGATTTAGGACAGGATGGAGTGTTCAGGACAGGGGACTCAGGACTGGGGACCTAGTGGAAGGTGTGGGAGGGCTGAGGGCAGGGGAGTGAGAGGTGCAGGAGTTAGGGCAGGGATGTTGGGTGTTGGGGGGGGATCAGTGCAGTGGGCAGAAATGTAGAAGTTAGGGCAAGAAGGTGTTCAGGATTTAGGGCAAGGAAGTTGGGAGTTTGAGTGGGTTCCAGACCAGGTCGCAGTTCTAGACCCCCCACATCGTCTCCTTGGGGAGGCAGGGCTTCACTGCTCAGCCCTGAGGATGGTCCTGGGAGGACCGTGGTGGTTGGGCTGGTGACTGTCCCCGCCTCCAGTGCTGCGGCTAAGGGCTACAGGGGAGGGATTTGGGAAAGGAGGCCACTTACCCATGGCCAGCAACGTGGACAGCACTGGCCCCAGCTGGCCACTCTGTTCCTGATGCAGCAATTCCCTGTGGTCACTCTGCAGTATAGCTGCCACCTGTGCTTGCTGCCCTTAGTGGTAACTCTGCAGAATAGCTGTACCTTTGATCACCTCCTCCCTTTCCATGTTATGGAAAACAATGCCATTTCCGGCACATCCCATTTTCCTGGTACAACGAAACCCTGGCATTGCTTTAAGTTAGGATAAGACAAAGCTGCATACCAAATTTGATGGTCCTAGCTCTTACCATTTAGGAGAAGTTCTTGAACAAATGGACTCACAGACAGACACATATTTCTAAAATATATAGATAGATAGTGAGAAGCATGTTCCACATGGCCCCCGCTTCTGGCCTTCAGAGCCTCCTGGAGTAACATTCCAGCAGCAATTCAAAGAGGCCCAGGGCTCCAGCCAGCACTGTTGCTGCAGTAGCACCAATAGCACTGGGAGTTCCATGCCCCTTTGAATCTGCAAGCCCCATGGCAATTTCTTTCTACTCACCCTCCCCCATCTATGGGCCTTGTTCTCCTCATATAAAGATGAATGGTTCCAGATCTAGCCTCGTTCCTCACCTTCTTTGAGGGACATTCTCTGCTAATACTAATTCCAAGTCTAGTTTATTAGGAATTAGTATTGAATTAGTATTTGCACTGGACACTTTACAGATGGTGAGAAAACTATAATATTCACCATCTCCCTGAGCTTCTGAGAGGAAGGCAAGCCCTGCCAAACCACCCAGGTTTAGCAGTGATGGGAACATTCTTTCCTAGCCCTAAACATTGACTAGTGTGATGGCCACAATGAGGTCCTTAAAAATAGCAACATTTAAATATGGCCAGTGAATGCATAGTACATACTCAGCTGAAGAAATGACTGTGGAAAGCAAAAAACAAATAAAATTTCAGTCTCAGCTCTCTTCTGGCTTTTTGTGAGATATATATATATGGAAAATAGCATAAGGAAGCTAACTGATCTACAGGAGCCAATTACATTTTTTTTAAAAGGTTCAGACATATGTTCTAATACCAACCAGGTAATATTTGATGGAAAAAGAATATTATTTCGTATAAAAGTTCAATATGTTTAACAATTTTGGCACAGTAAAATAAGACAAGGTTTTACTAATGTACAGTGTGATTTATACTTGATTTTATTGCAGTATTTTGTTTTCTTCATTACTTGGAAATGTGATTAAAACATTTTTCAGATTTACATTTCAGTGTTCTGTTTCTTCCTTCTACAACTGCACTTTCTTGCAGTACTGTATTTTTTTCTTGTCAAGAAAGGCCGGGGGTTCATTTCTAGTCCCGTGATGTGATAGTAGTGTTAAAAAAAGCAATGCAACAAGCTACCTACTGGAAATAATTATCTTTTTCTTCCCTAGTGTTGAGTGAGGTCTGCTATTTAGCACCCACAGCCTTCATATCACCTAAATTGAACTAATTTAATGCAATAACAGAAAAAGATCTGTGATTTAAACTACTAATTCAGCAACCCATTCATAAAGATAATATCACTTTTCCATCTGTCAGCCACTTCTTTCATTATTATCATAGTACAGAATTAAAGCTTTACTCTTCATATTTCCCGTATTTTTCCTCTTTTTTCATTTTTGTTTGACATCTCATTTCACAGGCAGCCCAGAAAAGTGGAAAGATATAACAGCCAAAAACAGACTAGAAAAGACTCCGCATCTGAAACAGAAAGGTAGGACTGATTCTACAATATGCAGCAACCTTCTCTCTTAATCAGATTGGTTCCAGTGTATCTACTGCTACTTTAAATGTCACCTGTAAAACAATAAATTTATAAAATTCCCAGAACAAATTCATGCTGCCTTAGTTAAAAGTCTTAATGAGTTTGCATATGTCACAAGATTGTCACTTCTGGTGTGTTGGCCTCATATGTATTATGTCATAGTATAGAGGTTGTCTGGCTTTCTTCATTAATGGATAATCCAATAAACAATCTTCATAGGCTAAGATTAAAAGTTACTTTTGTATACATTTAATTATTCAAATCTTGTACCCATTAAGTCCTGGAAGATTTGGCACTGGATCTCTGGGATCAGGATTTGGATCAAAATGTATATGATGAAGCAGTAAAACATTTTCTTTTATTGTACTTCATCACTGATATTTCTGCTTGATGTTTTACATTCTAAAAATAATGTTGACAGTGAAAAAAATCTATGTACCAAATGTGAATCTAACAATAAATAATTGCAAAACAGATTATCTTGATATATGACATAAAAGCTGCACAATTGAAATTGCAAAAATTAAAGAATTGCCACATTTAGATAGCAATATGAAGATGGAGATAATGAACATCATTCATTTTCTCAGGTATCCTTGTAAATAGAAATAAATTAAATGACATGTATAGAAAACACTATAATTTGCAATTACCTAATATGAATATGATTCTTGAAATATCAACTTTGCTTTTAAGAAGTTTATTTTGCCTTTATTATGATTTTAACTTTTACCTCTTATGCTATAATAATGTAGGAATTTTGTACCTAAGTTCAACATTTTCACAAAGAAAGCAAAGGAAAATAAACATTGGTGTTTAATAATGAGAGTATTCTACTGCTTCCAGTTAGTTCTAAATGTACATTTTGATGAGAGAGTGAAAGGGGGGCTTACCCGTTTTTGCTGAGATTTCTGTAAGGCTGTGTCAACAAGACAGCTTTACCCCTATCTACACTACAAGAGGTGAATAGCGGCATTGAAAAAAGATTGAAATTTAAATTTGTTTTCAAATAAAAAGCTTATAATTTGTATAATGTAGTAAAAGTTGCAGTCACAGATCACAGATTCCACTGAATCTTTGATTTTTTTTCTCTTGGTGCATATGATTTATTATGCTTAGTCTAGAGGCAGGAGGTTTGTTTTCTTTTGTTTTATTTAATTTCATTTAATTTAATTTTTTTCTTGTCCTAGTAGCAGCTTCTGTGCCAGGACAGGCAGAGATCATATGCATTGTGACATCATGAGCCTAATTAAATTAATAGGAGTTTTAGCATTATTTTCAATAGGGCCCAGATTTAAGACTATGTTTTGAACAAAAGTTCAATGCTTTATTAGTTTTAATAGCTTAATGGATGCCTATTGTGCATACTCAGAACTTTATTATATGCTTGTAAGTTGAGTTTTCCATTTTCTCCTGAAGAGTGACAAATATTACAACCCTTAGGGTATGTCTACACTGCTTTCCATTTTCGAGAGAGGAATGCAAATGCAGACAAATTAAATTGCAAATAAAGTACGGATATGAATTTCCTGCCCTTCATTTGCATAATCGCATTCGGGCACTATTTCGAAATACCGTATTTTGTAAAAAGAAATGCTGTCTAGACACGGTTATTTCGAAAGAAAACTCTTCTTTCGAAATTACCCTTACTCCTTATAAAATGAGGTTTAAGAGTAATTTTGAAAGAAGGGTTTTCTTTCAAAATAACCGCTTCTAGACAGCTTTTCTTTTTTCGAAATAGGGTATTTCGAAATAGCGCCCAGTTGTGATTATGCAAATGAAGCATAGGAAATTCAGATCCGCACTTCATTTGTAATTTCATTCATCTTCATTTGCATTCCTCTTTCGAAAGAGGAATTCAGTATAGACATACCCTTAATGAATAGAATACCCTTGCTAAATTTCAAATATCAACCATTTTTACTCCAGCCCTATGCTTTATGGCTGCGTCTAGACTGGCAAGTTTTTCGCAAAAATTTTCCAGCTGTCTACACTGGCCGCTTGATTTTGCGCAAAAGCACTGATGTTCTACTGTCCAAAATCAGTGCTTCTTGCACAAATGCTTTGACATTCCCGTTCGGGCAAAAGCCCTTTTCCGGAAATGTTTTTGCGCAAGAGGGCCAGTGTAGACAGCTAAAAACTGTTTTGCACAAAAAAGCCCTGATGGCGAAAATGGCGATCGGGGCTTTCTTGTGCAAAACTGCGTCTAGATTGGCATGGACGCTTTTCTGCAAAAAGTGCTTTTGTGGAAAAGCATCTGTGCCAATCTAGACGCTCTTTTCCGCACATGCTTTTAACGGAAAATTTTTTCAGTTAAAAGCATTTGCGGAAAATCATGCCAGTCTAGACGTAGCCTATATGTTTGCACTTCAGAAGATAGTAATTATATATTTGCAATGCAAAAACATTATGTCTCTCATGTTAGGAAGGCCTATATTTCTTGTATGTATTTAAGGGTAATTTGAACTTGAAATGATCATATACAGATTGAGGGTGGTCTGTTTCCTTCTAAAGGATCAACAAGCTGAATATGGGACAGCCTCTTCCCTAAGCAACTTATTTTAAAATGTTTCATGAGTAATAAATTAATTTCATATAATATGGGAAGCAGAGTCATGATTTCTGATCACTTGGGATTTGAATTATTGCAACTGGAAATTTTTTTTGCAGAGAACGTAAATATAGTGTATGTTATTAGACATTTGAGAGCTACAAATAAAAGCTTATAAAATGCACTCTGCTTTTGCATTCTAAGAATGAACACATATGTAAGATATAGTTTATTCTGTCTGAACCAAGCTATTTGTCTCCCAATAAGTAATTAACCTACATCTGAAATCTAAACTATACTGACAACTTCAAAGTTTTGATAGCACTTGCACCAAACAAACATAAAATATTTACAATAATTAGTTAGCCTTTTTTTTTCTGTGAGAAAATCTGAGACTTGATACATCTGTGACATATATAATAGCTCTGTTCTGATATGTATGGGATTTAATGGATTTATAGCTTGGTATTGCAACGTCATGGCCTCTTTTGTGTTAAAATCCCTTAAAATTATGCAGTAGTCAGTTTTATGTAGTGACAACAATCACCACTTAAAGTATCTGAGTGCTGTTTTTAGAAATGTAACATTTGTTGACAGGGAAGGTCAGGAAGATTATAAAAACCAATCTGGACATCTTAAAATATTTCTTTACTTTTAAAAACACATCCATAGCACTAAGTATTCCTTGACTTCCTGGTTGAAGATCTAGATAATTCCTCTTTCTGATAATACTACAGGGCTGTGTCTAGACTGGCCAGTTTTTCCAGAAAATCAGCCGCTTTTTTACACTGGCCACTTGAATTTCCGCAAAAGCACTGACTTCCTACTATAAGAAATCAGTGCTTTTTGTGGAAATACTATGCTGCTCCCGTTCGGGCAAAAGTCCCTTTTGCGCAAAACTTTTGCACAAAAGGGCCAGTGTAGACAGCTGAGATTTGTTTTGCACAAAAAAGCCCCAATCGTGAAAATGGCGATCGGGGCTTTTTTGCACAAAAGCGCATCTAGATTGGCCATGGATGCTTTTCCGCAAAAAGTGCTTTTGCGGAAAAGCGTCCGTGCCAATCTAGACGCTCTTTTCCGAAAATGCTTTTACCGGAAAACTTTTCCGTTAAAAGCATTTCCAGAAAATCATGCCAGTCTAGACGTAGCCCAGGAGTGGGAACTCTCCCGCAGAAACAGCAGCAGCCAGGGAATGATGAATTCTGTCACTTCCTTTTGCTTCTTAATGGCACATCATGTCTTAATAGATAATCTGTCATCTGACATCTCATATAGAGAATTGTCTATATAGGACTGAACATTCTGATTTATTATTTCATCATATGTGTTATATCACAACAGTACTGTTTAGGGAGGTTAGTAAGATTAGTTAGACAGTTTAATTAATATGCTAGATAATCACTGCTCATCCATAGCAAATACTACACTAGAGCTGCAGTCCTTTTCTCTCTACCACAAGAGAACCAGGTTGGGGATTTCTAGAAAATTATCTTCAGATCAGTTCTGCCTGTCTGCCTCCATCACAGGAGGCAAGCAGCACCAATGCACCAAATGTCCCCTAATTGCCAACATCATTGACACCAAGATCCATAACTGGGATAGAAATAGCTTTCTCAGGGCCATCAAGATCAGAGATCAGTTTTGTTGTGCAGATCTTGCTGATCTGAAAGTTGCTTTAAAAAGACAAAGTAAAGATTGAGGGAAAGCAAGAGGCACCTAGTGGGCAATTTGCATTTTACCATGTGTGCCCATTAATCAGCAAGTGTAACCAGATGTCCAGCATCCTACCTCCTACTGCATTTTGTATAACTGCCATTGCCTTTTTATACATGGGCTTAATTCCTATGTTTATTAGGATATCTCAGCAGATAACACATGATGTAATATCAGTCAGCTATGTTGAAATAGTTGATAGGGATAAAAGGTTTTCTTATTACTGTCATTAAGTGCTTCATTTATGCCAGAGCTGAGCCTTGGCACCTCTAGGTTTGGCAATTTATAGCACCTGAACCTCTGGGCTTGCCACATCATTTATGAAAAGAAAAGAAAAAAATTGCTTGAGACCCAGCATTTCATTGTTTATGATACAGCACCTCTTTCATTAGAAATTAAGAACTGATGCCATTGTATAACTTCAACATTAGTCTCCAGGTGGGATGCAGTAAAAGAGTTTAAGATCTGGGCAGCATGCTGGGAATGAAAAAGCTCCATTATATTCAGTGCCATCACAAATATACTTCATGATCCTGACTGGGATTGGATCCACTTCTGTTTCAACATCTGAAAGTTCTCTCTAGGCATAAATGAAATAGTAGACTGGTAATATATTTATTGCTACTAAAGACAAAATACACTTTAAAATAAGCTAAATGCCACAAAAACAACAAAAGTGCTTTGC